AGGCTGCTACATGGACCCTCTCAAAGACAGATGAAGGATATCTCAGTGACAGCTTTTGTTGCCCTAATATAGAGGTCTGTGGTTGGGAGGCTCTTGAAAGGTATCAGTGGGCTATTTTTAACCTCTGTGGACTGTTCTTAAAAAAAAAATAATTTGTAAGGAGACAGGAATGGCTTTATTTCTAAACATGCTCCGGGACACAATAGTGCCAAACTTTTCTCCTAAACACACAAAGGGATTTTAATTTAAAGACATTCTGTGATAAAGGCAACATAAATGACTTCTGTACCTCACCAAAACACCTTTTCCTTTTTTGATCGCATTTGAGTGACCATTGAAACATTAAGTTGAAGAGGAATTGCCATTGATTTGCTATTTTCTTCTGTTTGTATCCATTCTACTCAATTGCAGACCACAGAACAGAGGTCTAGAACTAGCACAAGAATACTTTCTTAGAAGGAATGATTCCTGCAGGTGAGGTGTACAGAGGCTGTGTTAGATATCTACCTTAACTGAAATGGAAAAGCTTTGTTATGATAATGTAGGAACCTTCTGACTTCTCCTTGTAACTTTCAGTCAAATTCAATTTTTATATATTGTTGGATATAATAAGCTTTGACAAATTCAAAAAAGTCACTAAAAATTATCGTTGCCTTTTGTAGAAGAGCAGTATGAAATACCAAGCTGTCTTGTGGCTTTTCTTTTTAATTGACTGAAAGCAAAGGTGCTGAGGCACCCAATAGGCTGACTGCTGCTCTTCCCCTGCCAGGTGGTTCCAATGAACGCGTATCTCCTCTGGGAGCAGGATGAACTCGTGCTGGTAGGGCGCTTTATACCATTTAAACGTTCTGATGGGATGGGCTCAATTCCATCAACCTTTACCTTAATGCTCTACGCTCAACTTGCAGCGATTCTGTTTAGCCTTTGCAAGCCTCGCAGCGGGTCCTTGCAACGGGGGCCTCGTGGAAACTTACTTTTAAATCTATTTAAAACTGTAGCGCGAAGGGAAGGTATGAAACGCGAGGTGTGTCTGAGCGGCGGTTTGTAACAGGAGCGCTGTGCGCGCTCGGTGCTCCCTGGCGCGGCCAGCCCTGCGCTGCAAAGCAACGGCGGGCCGATGCTCCCGCGGCGCGAGGCGGCCGGCACGAGCGCCTCGATGGCTGCGGGCGGCACGCGGCGCTGCTGGGCGGGAAGCGCTGAGGTGGTGCTTCGGTATTGCCCCTCCGCTACCTAAAAGTCAGGCGTTGGTACTGAAGGAGAGCGGATAAATAAATACATAAAACACACGTGTCACCGCCGTGAAGAGAAGCCTGCGAATGACCCGAAGAGGAGCTCAGCGTTGTACCGTTTAAGTGCGATTCGGGTAGTGCGGTGTAACACCGGCGTAATTCGTAAGACAGTAGTTGGTGTTTGCACAAAAGAGCCAGTCCTTCGTCCCTGACGAGCTCACTGCAGTTTAGCATTGCACCTGAAGGAGAAGTTTTCTGTTAGGTGTGGTACGCTTTGGCTTCTGATTTATTTATTTATCTTCCTCTCCTGGATTTCATGTTCTATTGTTTCTCCTTCATCCTTTTTTCTTTTTGTTGCATTTTTTTTTTTCAAGCATTGCTCTTTTATTGTATTTACACAGTGCAGCTCAGCCATTAACTCATTTTGCTTTTATTTTTTTCTCTTGCAGAATAACAGTCAAGATTTGCACTATGAGGCAAACTTATAAAGTAACTAAAGAAAATAAGGAGTACTGGTAAGGTTTGCTTTTCTTCCACGGCTCAGTTTTGTGACTTCTTTATGAGGATTATTAAGCAAAGCTTCCCATTGCTAGGATCAAACAGATCCTTATCAGATTTAAATGCAACACTTCAGTGGATTTGTTTTATTAAATTGTCTGGCCCTCGTTAATAATGTTTTCACAACTGATCTTACCTTGCATATTTGCAAAAAAGAAAATAATGGTAGTATTACTGATAGTACTTTGCAACTGCAGCATACAAATACTTGCCACAGCATTAGAAACCATAAGCCAATCTCATTTTCTAGCAGAGGAAATCCCACACAGAAGGTAAGTTAAAGACCATTATTTGTCATGTAGGTTTTCAGATGTGTTGGGGGAAATTGAGACGTTTTCTGTCCTTAACCAGTTACATTTGGGAGAAGCTGCTGAGTTTATTAGTTTTAATTAAATACTGATGAACATAATGTATGTATTTCTTAACAACCCAAAATTAATGATGAATTAACTAACGGTAAAGATCACCATCAGAAATGGAGAAGATAAGTTTTGATTCAGAATGGTTGGAAAACAGCAATAAACACACAAATTTCTAAGGATCTTTCTAGAACTTCTATTAGAAAATTCTGATCTTGTGGACGCACCTTGCCTCGTTTCCTCTTTTTGGTGTGTGAGCAGTGCTTTGCTTTTTGAATTTAGAATTCATGTTTTCAGAATGTTAACTGGAGTGGATTGGGGTGTTGGGGTTTTTTTGTTTGTTTGTTTGTGGTTTTGTAACTTCAGCTTTGGATTTACATGTATGTGAGAGACATCTACTCATGTGGTAGAATTTTGGACTTGAAGACCTTTTGAACAACATTTCATGAAAAATACAATTGAGTAACATTTAATACAGTGTACTTCTTTTCACAACTGAGAGGGAAAATAAGTGTTCACTTTTAAAGTACTGCTTTTCCTGAAAGCATTTTGCTCATGTTGAATAGCTAAAATTCCAGCAGAAGATGCCATTTTCTTAGTGTCTTTTGGTTTATTTTTGTACTCTTTCAGTACTGTACCCCATTACAGCATGAAAATCTGTTATTTTCATGAAACACCTTTCTGATAATACAAAGTGTTTGTTATAGCACCTGCTTTTCTTTGTAATCTGAACTCTTGCAATTCAGTCTCTGCAATAGCTGTTGTCCCACAGATGCTAGGTTGATCCTGTAAATCCACTTAACATTCTAGTAGTAGGTAATAAAATTATTTGTGATGTAGGACATCTCTGACTTCTACATATTACATATGCCTTACTTTTAGAATAATAGTGTTGCTTGGAAGAATAAAGAACAAAACAGTGTAGACTTCTTTGCATATTTTCCATCACTTTTATTTGTTTGCAGAGTAATAGCAGTGTATTGCAGACAAATGTCGACACTGATGTTCATGGTCTGTCCTTGTTCTGATACTGTAATAAAATAACCAAAATACATATCTCATTACATCAGTGTTTTCATTATGAAGATACAATTGCTTGTTTAGTGTAACTAAGGTGCTGTATCAGACATGCTTTACCTTCTCAATTGACATATTGCAGGTAGGGGAATAGTGTTACTTTAGCTCTTTCTGTTGCTTTTTCCCAAACACACTCTTTCCTGGATTAATTTCATCTTCCCACATTCTCTGCTATTGTGATTTTATGAAAAAATACTTTCCAGCCAGAAACTAATGCAGGTCCTAAAATCCCAACAAATCCTATTCAAACTAATAAGTGAGAAACAAAAAATGCCAGAGTTTCCCCAATTTCTCTTAATTAGACATAATGATCTGCAATAATATACATAGCATTCATAGACTTTCAAAAGCCTCCAGTGATATCTGATGACAGTAAACTTATTGCATTTATTACAAGCCTTTTGTTTTGATTTTTTTTTTTAATGTGCAAATAGTATTTCTTTGCATCTTTCAGTGTTTCATCTGATGTACAATGTTTTCTCTGTAGATGAGGGTGATGTCTATGATTGGCTGGAAAAACATCTGTTACCTGAAAGTCTATGTGAGTGTATTTTTTAAAACTAAAAAAACAGTAGTGAGTAATTATCAAATAAACCACTTCCTGTATAAATAAGAGTAGTACCCTAACCCATAGAGTCTCAAACGGTGTGTTTCAGACGTGCAGACACTAAATATATGCCCAAGAGCATGGAAGTGGATATTTCAAATGTTGGCAGTAAAAGCAGAAGAGCTGGAAGTTACTTTCTACTGTCCAGAGATCAATATAAGAAAAGGTGATTCAATATTAGAAATAATTTGTTTGTATGAGGGCTGCTCCAAAAGCAATGCCTCCTATTTCGTGATGTCAGCCCATGACATCAGAGGTGGATGTTGGTGGTGTGGCAGCAGAGGTTGAATCTTCCCACCAATATCACAGTACATTTTGTTGCAGATGGCAGCAGAGGGCCAGTCTGACAAAATGGCGCCTGCCACTGAAGGCAAAGGCATGGAACTGAACTCCTCTGTGCAGAGAAAATGGCACCCATTTCTGGCACACATTTGCTGGACAGTTATGGAAGCCAAACAGTGTGTGTGAGCACAGTGAGGTAGTGGCAACAGTGACAGTTTGTCACCTCTTGTGATGTGGACTGTTATGAGCACAGCATATAGGCTTTTGTTTATTGCTGGTAAAAATGCTTAACTAATGGTGGTGACTGTGTTGGGGGAAAAAAAAAAGTGTTTTATAGCTGAGAATTTTTTCTGTCAAATAGTGTTATTGTGCTCTTGTATCTGTTGTAGTTTCCATTGAAATAAATAGGAGGCATTACTTTTGGAGCAACCTACACATGAAATGACTTTTAACATGTGCAGAACTCTGAAGTGTAAGTGAAATCCTTCATTAATTTCTTCGGTTTTCATCTCTTCAAATTCCATTCCAGGGCTGAGACAGAAAACAGGGAGAAGGATTTAGTGTCAAATACATCAATTTCATGTTTGAAATGTCTACAATGTATGTTACGTTTTAGATGCAGAGTAATTTTAACCACATTTGGTTAAAGTAAAGCACACATATTATTGATGACAGTTTTCTTCACATTAATAAATAGCAAATGGTCTCATAAAGGAGGTGCTTGTAGTGAGTTAAGGAAAAAAAAATAAAGTACTCTGTTAGTTTTATGGGTTTCTACACTGTGCACAGTGTAGTGAAGATTGGGACCTGTGAAATATTGACTACAAAAACCCCAAACAAACTATCTTGTAAGAATGTGATTACATAATAATTACAAATGGAAATCAGAATGTGCACATACCCCCAGATAATCAAAATTCCACTAGGCCTAACAAAAAACAAACAATGTTTATTCTTATTTATAACCAAGCACCCGTTGTTCCTTTATCTGGCTGAATTATTTTGATTCATACCTTGCTGTGTGAATGAATTGAAATTCAGTCTTACTGAGGTACTGGAAAATGGGGAAAGAAAAAAAAAGTTATTAGGAAGATAATTTTAAATTGAGACCTGTTGCTGAACATAAATATGGAATCTCTGTCATGGTTGTTTTTATCTGTGATAGTCCTAACGAAGTGGCTTCACTGAAAATATTGTTGATATTCCTTACTGTGGTGCTAAACAAATTATCAGTGTCCACCTGGAAATTGTTTGCAACATAGCCTATGTTACCTCTTACATCTATCTAGCAGCTTGTAACTGTGGAGTCGTAGCATTGAAGTTCAAACTTCCATTGTAGAATACAGCTCACCAGTTTAGAACAATTATACGCAATGCAGTGTTTGTTGATAGACCTCTGTTCCTGTGCTATCTCCTTTAGAAACACCAACTCAGAAATACGTTATCTTTCTTAAGCCCTGTGTTGCCTAGCATGTAATTTAATTATTTTGTAACAGTTTAGCCTGAAAAACACAATCTTGCTTTTGTGTGTAATCAACAAATGTAGACTAATTTAGATAATGTTAGCTAATTGTTGTGGAAATGCTGAGTCATGTCTCGAAGCAGTGATTGAGCACCTGGTGGAAGGCAGGGCCAATCCAGGGGAGCTCAGCTGCATGTAATGCACCTGGTGACCAGAAAGGCTGGAGCCAGGATCCAGCCCTTCCCAGACCTCATTTAAGAGTTGGCAGTAGAGGTGAGGGAATCTTGCTGGAGTTCCCTATGTCCCTGAGGCTTTCTGAAGGTAGGCAGATTCTTTCCTTTGTTTCTGTGTCCAGGACTACTTTTTTTTGAGCATATCCTCACTTGCTGCAATCTAGGGCTTTGCTGCTATGCTGTTGCTGCAGTTTCCATCCCGTTACAGTGTTACAGCAGTGTTTGGTGGTGTTTTTTTGTTTTGGTTTGTTGGTTTTTTTTTTTTTGAATACCATTAATGTTGGTTTTTCCCTGCAGAGTTAATGTCATCCATAATATTGATCTGATTACCTCTGACATCCAGTCTGCACTCTATTTCAGCTTCACCACACTCGTTAACGGCTTTACAGGTGTAAAAGCCTCCATCAAATGGAGTGGGTTTCCGAATCTCCAATGTCAGCACACCCTGTTTACTGAACATGCGGTATTTGGCATCCCCAGAGAGATCCACTTTGTTTTTGTACCAGAATATCTTTGGCTGAGGAACACAAAAGAAGAAACTTATAAAAGGAGGCAGAAAATGAAATTTACTGCTAGTGTAACAGTGTTAGTTTAGCCATCAAAAGTGTATGCACTGTGAGGGCTGCACATTGCGCTGCAGCAGTAATTATTTTTCAAGAAACCCCTGCTCATTCCAAGTATGAACTCACGAAGCTTATGATTCAAGTGTTAAGAATTTTCTTTAACTCTCAAATAACATGTAGAACACGTACCTCTATACCACAAATTAGTGTGACTCTTAAAAACCCTTACCCTGGCAACAAATCCATTCCTTCAGAGGTTATTTCACTGTGCGTATTAAAATATTTTTCAGTGCTTCAGCTACGTTACATAAAGTGAATTAAACTGCAGAGATTATCAGAGCAGAATTACAGAATGTGGCCAATATGGGGTGACTTGTCTAGGTCTGGGAAAGGATTTTCCCAACCCTTAGCACATCTTTAGCAATTTTTATGCTCAAAATCAAGTTCCTGCTCAGCTGGTTGGCCCGGAAGCAACTCAAGTCATCGTGTTTTGATTCCAGTGTCTTTTATAAATGACATTTTTTAAAATGAAAAACATGTTTAGGGCAAACTGTTCTTGTTTATATCAAGTTCACTGGTACACATATTAGAGAGATAGACTTAAAGTACTTGGTAACCTACAGTTTTTCAGAACGGCAAATCTTGCATTGACATCAGCTGCTCTGAAAAATTCCTGTTGCCAAGTTTTCCGTTAGATATAGAGTTTTTCCTTGCGGTTAATTTGGGCAATGCAAGTTCAGAAATGTATCTGGAAAAGCTGCTTCAAGAGTCTGAGATGCGCTGAAAGAGGAAGACTGTATTTTTTGGGCTAATGTAGAAGGAAGAGCTAGCAGGCAGGTTCAAAAGCCTTGGTCTACTGTATTGAACAGCTGTAAAATAGGAAGTATAAAAATGTTACACAATGATACAGAAACTCAAAAGGGTCAGATGACTGAGAGGGAACATCTCAGCTAGCACTATAATTACATCATTGATGTAGCCCTTGGCAGCTGCTGGGAGATGGATTTTGTCTGCCCTTGCTGTGGTTTCTTCTGTGCTGCTCTTCTTTTGCAGCTGCTTATGTGCCTGTGCTTCCTGAGTTAATTTAAATAAGCACTGATCTTGTGTTGTGCTTTATAGCTATCGAATCCTTGTGCTGGCCTGAGAGGTGGAGAGGAGGTGTACATTAGCAGCCTGAAGGGGGAAGGAAAAGGGTACTGTGTGTTTTTTTTTTTGTCATTTCAATTTATGATATGATGACATCATAATGTGGTAAATTCCTTCATTGCAGTCAAAAAGTCTGTTTCCCGTTTTTGACAAACCTTAACTCCTAGCTGATACAGTTTTTACTTCTTGTTCCTGACTCTAACAAAAAAAAAAAAAACATCTACTTTTTGTTCTCCCTGACGAGACTTCAACAAATTACGTTTAGAGTGAGGAAATACTCTCATGAGATTAAAAACAAAAGCAAAACCATCCAAATGGCAAGGTTAGCATAAAGCTGCAAGTCTTTCCCTTCCCTTTCCTCTGTCTTCCTCGCTGTATTGCCTATCTACATGTTTACCCCATTCTACCTGCACTTCACTCACTGGTTTACTGTGTTTGGTGAACTAGGTGAGGCATAACAGCTGAAAAATAACCCAAGAAGTTGGAAAGATACTCTGTGTACAACCATTATCTCTCAGGGGTGATAATTCAGGGAAATGTACTTTTCCTCAGTGTAGTTACTTTAATTACACTGAACTGGCACAAATTCCAAGGCAGCATCTTGGCTTGTATCAATGATGGTTGATATATTTTGTACCTTAGGGATTCCTCTCACTGCACAGCTGAGCGTAGCGTTGTATCCTGCAATCACAGACCGGTTTACTAAAGGGTGAGTGAATTTAGGAGGTTCAGAGAAGTCGTGTTCTTTGTAACTAGGTGGCTTGTAAGTGGTGCCTGCAATTCAAAGAAACAAAATACTCATAACTGCTTTCAGTTCTGGTGAGTCGTGTAACCCTAACTGCCATGTTGTTTTAGCTCTGTGACTTTACTGACACTGACATTAATGATGCAGCAAATTTTAATACTGAGTTTCATTGAAAATGCAATACTTCAGTTGAAAGATTCTCACAGTGATTGAATTTCTGTTTATGTTAAAAATGTGATAACCTGTGTCTGCAGTCTTCATTATATAAATCTTTTTGATCCTAGAATATAAGTGTACCCACACAGTTGTATTATTTTCTGGAAACATTGTAGTTTAGGAAAAGTATCTGATCAAGTATTTTTTTGAAAAAAAATTCAGTTTCTACAGAAGCCTGCCTAAATAAAGGCTGTTGATGCTAAAATACATTGTGAGTGCTAATTACTTAATAATGAAAGTATCTCTGGTGGTACATCTACTAGTATTATATTTTTCATTTATGAACGCATTATTTCTAATAAAAGGCGGTTAAGTACCGCTTTCGTAATGATTGTTTTTAATAGTAAATGTTACCTGATTTTTGGATATAGGCAGGATTTTTGGTAGTTGCAGCAGTTTCACTCAATCCACACAAATTTTCACTGAAGACTCGAAAGAAATATTCGTTGCCCATAATCAGCTCTGACACTACACAGTTTGTACGACGGTAGTGGTCATAAACAGTGTACCATTCCTGCAACAAAACTGCACTAGTTAGAAAGATACTTCTAAGAGGTCAGACATGGTATGGAGAGATCATTTTACTACAAGGGAAAGACAGGTATTTAACAGCTTGGGAAATGAATGTTAATGTTCTTTCCTGTGAAGATCAGCTGACCTGCTTTCTTCTATTTTCTGGCTCATGTAGTTGCATGAATATATGGATTTTGGAAAAACAACAACAGCAACAAGAAAAACCTCCTTACACTTTAGCCCTACTTATATTTGAGAGCCTGATGAGAACGCATCTGCTTGATGGAGCATTCCTTGAGAGAGGCATTTCCCAGTCTGCTTGACAAAGCTGTTTGTTCCAGTAAATTCCCTAAGGTGCCCAGTGCTGAGCTCCTCCCTCCTCTTCAGTTTGTCTCTGTGTTTGTCAAAAATGTGATTCAGAACACCTTCACAGCATCAATCCAGTCACCACCAGAGACGGGGCAGGCTATGCATGCTTCTTTTTTCCACTTAGTGTTTTGATTCTTTTTAGATCATATTCTAAATGTTTATCTGCCTTTGATGTGCCATAGGACACTTTGGGCACACAACTGGGGGTCATTAATTTAGCTGTTTTCATTAGGTGTCTGTATTCCTAAGCAAGAAGGTGTTTAAGCTCTTAAAACTGCAAGGACTCAGTGCAGCTTACCATTGTCTTTTTGTCAGCTTTCTGGACCGTGTAGCCCAAGATCTGTGCATTGCCATCATCCTGTGGAGGTGTCCACTCCAGGGCAACATTAAATCCCCAAACATCGGCCAGTTTTATATTCTGAGGAGGGCCAGGCTTATCTGGAGAGGACACATGAAAAAAACTTAGCTTCTGCTTCAGCAGCTGAAAGTGCTGTCATTTCCTCCCATGCAGGGTAAAAATAGAGCTTGATAGCAATCTATAATTGTTCCACAGCAGTACGCTTCATTTATGTGAAGTTGAAACCATAAACAGGAAAGTTGGGAAATTTTCAAATGCCCTTTTCAATACTTTCCTGGGATGCTTGGAACCTACTGAAATATATAGGCAACACAATAGATGTTGGTGAGATAAACTCTTCCTTGAAGTTGAAAAAGAATCTTGTGAATTTTTGGATGAGTGTGATTGCTCTCTTTGCTACAGTTTTATTATGTGCTCTACAACATTACAATTTGTCAGTCCTTCAGGTACAGCGAGAGTAACAATAACAAATAAGCTGTGTTCCTTTTCACTCAGGAAAGCCAGATATTTGAGACTGTCTGGGCAAGGAAGGGGTTTCATCCAGGTAGGATGAGGTGATGCCAACAAGGACATATACTTAGAATACTGAATCTAGTCCTGCACTGAGAATATCAGTCCAATTGTTAGGAGTGTCAAGCAAACAAGACTGCTAGAATTGTTTAATAGCAGTAAATGATGCAAGATGTTCTGAGGAAAATACATAAAAATTCTCTTCACTCTGATTATCAATGATTATCTGTACCATTTTGACTACATTGCTAAGTAAAAAATACGCATAACAAGCAAAGCAGAATGAAAAGTGGAGGTTGCTGGGATTTTGAAGCTAGTGTGAAAGCCAGGATGGTAGCTTACATCAAACACAGCTCAACAACTTCCTGGTCTAGTGTTAGAGTGTGCTGAGACAGTAGTTGATAATTAATTCTGAGTCTTTAATATAACTTGTTTTCTCTGCATAGCCCAACTTCAGTGATGGGGGGAGCAGGAAGAAAAGAAATAGGATACTAATGAAAAAGAAAATCATTTAACTCCAGCCAGATATCCTATAATACAATTTGTGATATGCAATTTTATTTTACACTGCTGTAACCTGAAATTTTCCTAACCATTGAACTGTTTCATGAATTCAGACTTCTTTACTGTCCCAGAAATGAACTTTTCATGCATTTAAATTTCTGATGGTGAAGGACCATGAAAAGTGGTCTGAGGTGTTTAAATGCTCAGTCAGTGCTTTTGAGCAAGTTCTATGATGGCAATGACTATAGGGAACTGGACTCAGTAACTAGGTGATCTTTTCCAATCCTGTGCACTATTATAACCCTTAGACCTATCAACTAGGACATCTGTGAGGTACCACAGTAGGTACTGAAGTTCTTGTTTCCTACATAAATGGTGTTTCTATGTCAGAATTAAACAATTCTGAACTAAAATTAAATCTGAAACCTATATTTTCCTTGTGGAACGTAACTCATGCTAAAACTAGAAAATGCAGGATAACCGAAAGGCATTTGATGCACAAGCTGAATAATATGTTGCATCTTTGCTTGATTTGAAAATATGATGAGGGAACCTGGCAATAACAATCTGTTGTATTTTGGAAAGAAAAAAAGTCTAACCTCTTTAACCTGTTTAGAAGGTTTGTAAGGTTTTCACAAAAATTGCCGTGTGCATTTTGTTGCAAGAACTGGTAGTCAGGTGGTCTGATTTCTGTCAGAAGGCAGTCAAAAATCCCGATGAATTGTCACCAATCTTAACTCCATCAGCAGTGCTTTTGAGACTTTCTACTTGGATTCCATCTTGATTAATGTGACCAAAGTGGCCCCACTGATGGCACGGAAGAAAGTTTTCCATAGAAGCAGAAAGTTCATGGTATGATTTTTGAATGTGTCACTTCATTCTGCTGATCATGATGGTACTTCCTAAGTGATAGGACACAAATTGCTATGGAGTCCTTGAAGTGTGGCCCTTTCATAATTTGCACAGTTAATGAGCATGAGAATCTGTTTCTCTACCAGACTACCTGATTCTGTTGACTGAAATTGAAGGAGATAACTCTGATGAAAGAGTGACAAAATCAAGAGTCAGATTAGATGCCTCGGTTGCAGAAGTAGCTGCATGTTTCAAGCCCTTTGTGTTCTTTGCCTGGAATCAAATGGAATTTGTTTATTCCCTTTCAGTTGAGCAAGCTGCCCAAGAAGTAGCAACCTTAATACCTGTCTTCCAACTCGGACTTGCATTAATCTTTGTGATGACATTCCCTGCATTTTTCAGTCATTTTTGATATAAAGCTCTTTGACTACTTGTGTATGCTTGTGTGTTTTTTCTACAGTGCCAAACTGGATAAAAGACATTTCATACTATGCTATAGGAGCAACGTGCTAGAATTGAGAATCTTGAACTGGTTTTAGAAAGAAATTTTAGTATTTAGGGTGTAGTTCTTGATCCAAGTCAGCTGGGATTATCTTGTTTTGGTTGGCCTCTGTTTTGTTGTCACAGTACTGCAGCCACCTCCTGAGTAGAACCAGCTGATGGTATTAAAACATATTCACTCCAATTTGGTATGGCTTTCTTGCTTGTTTTTGGCACTGCTTCATATTGATTCTGCCATCTATGTTTTATAAAATTTTAGGCATTATATCTTTCATTTCAAAGAATTAGGAGTTACGTTTATATACTGTTCTCCCAAAAATGCGTATTGTAAGAAGGTGTTGGCACAGTGGAGGAAATTTGGGATGACAGTGTAAAAGAGGAAGGAGAAAGAAATAAAAGAAATTATGTAGAGCTGTAATAAGGAGAAATACAATGATTCTGGCTGAACATTATTGAAATCTGAGTGCTCAAGATCCCAGAATATATCTTACAAAATCCCAGGGGAAAACACTGGAACTTCAGCAGTCCATTCCTTTAATATAACACTAGCAAAGAGGCTGGATTTTGCATAAAATAGAGAGCAAGCTTCCACTAAGCCTTAAGCTACCTAGACACTCTTAGCAGAGTAAAGCATTAAACATGAATTTTATAAGTTCAAAAGACTGCATCCTGTCATCATTTTTTCCAACTCTCTTAATATACCCATAGAGGTGTATTAGTGCCATGCTTTTAACTTCACTGTTGTTATCTGCTGAAGTAACACAATAAAAGTGCATGTATTCCAGGCCTCATATTTCTTTCTTTGGAGACAAGATTGCTATTTTCTAGAATACCAAAACTCTCAAATTCAGATGGTAAGATGAGTGACATATTTGTGAATGTCAAATATTCACAAATATTTGTCATATTGAATATGAGTTTAAAGCTTGAGAATGTTAACTGAGGGGAATGGGATTGAAGACTTCAGATTTGTGAGCAGTACAGAAGCAGTGCTAAATGATTAAAATGAATGATTTAAATGCAAAAGAATGTTTGGATTCTGAAGCTTGATCGAGGTTCAAAAACTGACTGGACAAAATAGGAGAGAACATCTTTCATTGGACACACAGGTAACCCCTCTCCCTGAGGAAGTCTCTAGGACGCATCTCATCCCAAGCTGGGAAAATTCTGGAAAATGTTAGTCCTGCTCTGTGCTTTGTCTTGGTCGTCTGCTGTCAGCCATTGTTAGAAAGGGATTTGGTGGTAGACATATCTCTAGATTGCCTCAGCAGGGTAACTGTGTGATACGCTTTGTTCTGATGTTGATGTGTTCTTACCTATGATTTGAATTGTTATTGCAACTGTATCTGTCATATTTTCTATTTGAAGAGTGACTTCATATGCTCCTGAGTGATGAAGTTCTGCCTTTCTAATGAAAAGGATTGTGTCCGTGTTGCTGTTCCGAATTCCCACATCTTTGGAGTCTAGAGTTTGACCATCTTTCATCCAACTTATTTTGGGTCTAGGCTTACCCTGAGGAGAAAAAATAATGTTTTTTAGACTGTAGTAGGTTTTTATTTTCATTTCTCTGGTTTATCTTTTTTTTTTTTTTTTTTTTTTTTTTTTTTTTTTTAATAGTGTTGTATAAATCTAGAAACCCTAACTTAGCGTGCAAAGCTACTGAAAGTGAAGTTTCTAAATGCTTAAAAAAAATAATAATGCTTGTGCTGGTCTTGTCCTATTTTCCAGGCACCTGTGAAGCCAACAGTTGATTAGTTTAACTTTGATTATTGTTAAGTAATAGAAATCTTTGTTTGAGGAGTTAATTAGCTGATTGTTCCTTTCACTCACTTTCTTAGAACATTTAATTCTCGATCCCGAGGCAATGTCAGTATCTTTCAAATCATGGTTAAAATGTTACAATTTTAGTTGTAGGGTGTAGATCTTATTGTATAATTATTCCTGCATGGTAAAAATCGTTTTTCTGACATCAGCCTAGACAAATAGTGTTGCCACACCTCAACACTGAAGAATGATTTTGTGAAATCATTGAGCTAGTGTGGTTTATGTTACCATCGCTCAGCTGCTTCTGCGACAAGTGGTAGATAATAGTTCTCTAGAAGTTTTGAGTGATACTTCTGCAGTATGTTTCCATAGCAAAAATCCCAGTAAAACAGTAAAACCTTTTTCGTTGGCAGATTGGAAAAGATATCTCAGTTATAAATTAAGCTTTGCAGCTGCTGCTATTCTAGTGTTGTTGATCAGCTACTTTCATTATAGGTCTTTCTGAGTGGTAACCAAAGATTACAAGTGTTCACAGTGTTGGTTTTCATATAGTCTTGTATTTATAGGCTGTGAAAAACATAAACAGATAGAAAGCACGTTTCTGGTACCTATCTCAGAGGGTTGTATTTCAGTAATGTGTTACAGGTAATGTGAGAGAATAGTGAGTGACAAAGGAGATCTACTGATAGTGAAGGACGAATTTAAGTGCTTTTTCATTTTTATGTGCACATATACATGATTGACAAGGAGTCACACTGTGAGTCTTACACACTAGTAACACGTAATACCCCTTCAATCATCTGCCCACTTAGCAGAGTTTGATATAAGAATATGTTGACTCCCCCTCCTTTCAGCAGAAATCCCACATGCCTTATGTGTAAATAGGGCATAGGTTAGTAATAATATTGCACTTGTGTTTTTTTCTGTACATTCTTATCAAAAGTTTGGATAGAATTGTGAATAGGATTTACTCAGGACACTGTGGCAAAATAGTTGATAGAAATCCAGTGTTAAGTGACTAAGTAGTGGCCACAGAAGTCAAGGTTGTTTTGACTGAGTTGCAGAAAAATTATAAATAACAGAAGGTATTGGCTTATGATTTCTCTACATCCTGTCCTATCCTGTGTTCTGTGGCTCACGGTCTTATAACTTAAACTCTTTGTAATTTGAAAGTTACAATTGTATCTGTTTAGTCATTTTCCTCACTAAAAAACATTCAATAAAAAGAACTTCTAAAAAATACAAATAAGAAAATGTTATTTTTGCTATGCTTTTCTGAAAGATGCCCAGTTTTGAGTATCTTAAGTTTTTAAGTATTAAAAATCGTTTAATAATTCTTAATTGCTTAAGAATAGCTAAAAAAAAATTCATTATATATATGTATATATCATGAATTAAAATTGTGGCTTTGTTTCAAGGCTACAATTTAGTGTTGATGGATAGGTTTTAGCATTTCTTGTTTCCCTTACCTTTTTTAGGAAGAGGAGTCTGTCTACTATACCTTCATGTGATTTGTCTGTCAATCAGCCACTCAAATAACTTCAGAATTAGTTGGTTCGTTTCAGTTAAATTAGGCTGCCAATTAGAAATCTCTAGGATTAGTTTAGTACAGTTTTGTTAAAACTGATGACAGAGTACAATACAGATGATTCAGTTAGGGTGAAGAGAGAGTTAGGGAAGACTCTTGTGTTCATCCTCTTTGTTTGGCAACAGCTAATGATACATCAAGTTAAGTGAAGTGTTGGATTAATTGCAACATGTACCTGTGCTGGCCTGGGGAACCAAGGACATACCTAGGACATATCATACGTAGCTAGGGCTACGGGGGAAGGAGGGGGAAGAGCTGTCAGCTCTTGGGAAGTGCTGTGATGAGCCTGTCCTGAGCAAAAAGGTTACTAGGAAAACAGTGATATATTTGTGTCTTATACTTTTAATACAACTCCTTAAACTTCATCAGATTCTCTGATTGTGGGGCAGCTTGTCAATTTTGGGTAAATTTTCTTCATTTTAGACATTAAAGCAGCAAAATTATCAGCTTAATTGTTTGTTACAAGTTTAAACAAGCTTGCGTAACTGAAGTGTGGTTAACAAGATAGGGCTCTACAGTTACAGTAGTTAATCCTTCCTCTTGGACAAGAAAAGCTATGAAAAACAAACAAGATCAACTGGAACTGTAGAAACAAACAAAAACAACCAAAAAGCCCTACTGATATTAGAGTGATTATTAATACTGCTCAAGAAGTGGAGCAATGGGAACTTGCATAAGGGAAACCACTTTAGCTAAGTCACGATAAATACTTGTGAGTAAATAGAAAACAGTACAAACCTGAAAAGGTATCATTATATTGATTGTCTCACCCACTTTCTTCACCAGAGTCTGTCTAAGATGGCGCGGCAGCCAGATTTTGGGACGCTCTGCAGTTAGGCAATAGGATGTTAATACAAAGCTTTTGATTATTTGAAATATTACCTACAGGACAAATAAGATGAAATACTGAAGAGGAAGAGCTTGAATACTTGTAAGCGTAAGAAAATGGTGCAGTCTGTTCTTACAGTCTGTTCTTACAGTTGCAGAGCAGGTAGTTCTCTAAGCATTTTCTGATGTATTTGTCTACAAGATACAAATCTAGTAGCAGATCTGTTACGCATTTACAACAGTGCATTTTGCATTGGTGGCAGGGCTTCTGAGACAGTGTTTTATTCAGAATGGCAGATTTGGGTGACTTCTGTTTGATGTGAATCTTCTGGGTGGACTTTATTTCTTTGGAGAACTTTATCAGGTAGTAAAAGGGGTATATTGAATTGAAAACGTAATTATAGGTGACAATTAATCTGTTGCTCTGTTATTACAACAGCCCCTTGCAAATTGCCATTTGGATGACATTGGACTTGGAAAGTACAGCAATCAGTGAATTGCCTTTACCTCTCTGTGGTAATTCAGTTACAGTACTTTGAGGTGGAAGGTGTGGAGTAACATAGCACACCTTCCTTTTCGCTAAAGGACAGCAGTGCATGCTCTTTCTTTCAGTCCCCCCTTTCTATGTTCTCCTTGTGTCCATTTCTCTTTTCTCAGTCATTTTAGAAGAGTATATTAACCTACAGTTGGAGTACCTGTCATCTTGTCCATTTAGTTTTGAGCTGCATCGCAGCTCTCATTTACACTGAGTCATTTTGCTGTCAGTGGGACTCTGATGGACACTTTGTGTGAGTCAAGGCTGAAGAGTCCATTATTAGCAGCCGTTGATATCTTTTGGACTCCAGTCAAATGACTTGTAATCCTCTACCGCTGGGTGATAAACATGGTGTTAATTAATAACCCAGAACAATCAAGTTCAGATAACTGCTTTCATTTGAAGAGACCTCTTGCCTCAGTGAATGTGGTCATTTTGCAGTAATATAGCAGCTTTCCTAGCAGAGAGTCAGATATTAAAAACTGGCCCCTTAAATGCTGACAATGACATTATCTGAGGTAAGAAGTACAGAGTTTGCAAGTTTCATTTTTGTTTTAACAGCTGCATGTTGGAAATTGAACAGCTGGACAGGATGGCAATGTTTTCTGGTTCAGAAGATTTTTAGCACAAAGTCTGACTGACAGAATTGTTTGGATGTTGTTTTCAGAAGGCAGCACAGCCTTGTCAGACCTGGGATTCTTCTGCATTGTGTACAATTAGAATTTTGACCGTAGACAATAGGTGAGTGAGGTTTATTCAATCTGAATACTCACGCATGATCTCTTGAACAGTAATGGGCTCTTTGATTATTGCTGCTCCACTTTCACCAGCCAAGTTTATAGCCTTTACACGGAAATAAAGTTTGTCACCTGTGACCAGGTCTTTAATCAGTGCAGATGTTCGCTCAGTTAGGCCAGGAAGAGCCGGAGTCCATTCTGCAGCTGCAAGTACAGGATTTTTATTTTGTAACATCTTATTAATTTTCCAAACTGATGCCTTGTCTACAATTGAAAGAAAATTTGTATTGAGGTAACATGGATTTAACTTGCAATACCACGCTTAGAATGGAACACACTGAACTTGAAGAGAACTCTTGATCTACAGGTACGGGATCAACTTTGGGTAGTTTCTTCAGCATTGTTTCACAGAGCTTAGGGCTGTGGGGTTTCTTGACATATATTTTCTTAGCAGAAGATGGAGAGGGAAGCATTTTGGAAGTAGCTAGAAAGTGAAGCCTCAATTTCATTTTTTCCTGAAGCATATTTTCTGTGGGTGTGCAGAGCACATAATTTTTGGAATGTATTCTTACTTTCTCATTTGATGCTGTAAAACAAAGTTTGTAGGGCCTCCTAAGTTTTGCTAATGTCATAGAAATACTACCAATAAAATTATGCTTCTATGATGATGACTTAAAGATTCTGGTAATTTCAGAATGAGAACTCATTAAAGACTAGAAATGACTTCTGGATAAATTATACCCTGTAAAAAACCCTAGCTAAGGTTATATGATAATTGAGTTTCCTGTCAGAGAGGATTCCGTTGCTGAAATAATTATAAATTTGTTAGTTGATTATTTTTTTTAATATGGGTGTTATATTGTAGCATCACAGTACAGTCCATTGAACATTGTAGATATGATGCATGATGATATATTTTTTTATTATTGAACCACAGTTATTCCAAGAGGTAACAGTTACTTGCAAATTTGCCTAATTTCCTTACAGTCATGGTATTGTATTGGTTTTAGAGATTACACAATTTGAGTACGACAGAAGTATCAGAGTGACTACAGAGCAACACTGATATTCTTGTTAGTACTTTCTTTATCAAAGTTTATGATGATTTTGAATATGAGGATATGGTTGATGTGACTATCATGGTTTTAGTGTCACGTCAGGTAAATCTGGTGATGGATGCCAAGGATATTAATCACAGGTGAGAGTTCAAATTTAGTGATGCTGGATGCAGTTATTTGTTGTAATATTGCAGTGTAACGATTGCAGCTGCAGTATTTTAATAATATTTAGTTGCCTCTGGCTACTGGTTGTGCTTACTTACATCCATCTTTGCAGTATTCCACTATATAGCCATCTAATCCCCCTGCTCCAATCCGTTCAGGGGGTCTCCATTTCAAGGTAACAGTGGTGTCGGAGACATCCTCCACTGTAAAGTGTGTTGGTTCACTTGGAGGAGCTGTAAGGCAACATTTAGAAGTAAATTCCGAGAAACAGGAATGTTACTGTCAGAATTCAAAGGCTGTAGAAGTTATGATTAGTATCTGAACTATGTACCTCTATTTTAATAAAATGAATTTAGCTGAAACTCAGCTGTAAAATGCAACTACTAATACTTCATTTGATAGAAGTGTTGCATAAGATTCCCATAATGGGGAGCAGAACAAAAAGGCTCAATCAAATTACCAGCAGAAATCTAGAGGTCTTCAGTAATTTGTTTACATTTGTTTGGAAATCCAAATGCATACAATTTGTGTGCTGCATTTACACCCTGATTGTAGTTAGACAAAATTCATCACTGGCTAAATTTGATGTAATTTGTTTTGATCAAGAAGTGAAGAACGTGGCCAGAAATTTTGACTACATGTTTACTGAAACATTAGTTCTGCTTTGCTCATTTGTAACAGAGACATATCTGAAAAAAAAATACTGGGCTGAAAAACCTTCAATTCATTGACATATAGCTAGTTTATATATTTTCAGAACAGAAATCTCATCGTTCCTTTGAAATCCATAGTTCAGAATGACCACTGGCTAGATTCAATCTTCTTAAATATGACTTTTGTCTACTAACAAGAAAAGAAAGGAGAAAAGCCCTTACTGGAGAATCCCAAAGTGTGAACACACACAAATTCAGCTACCAAATAAATCATTGATTCCAAAGACCAAACAGAAAGATAACTTCAAAATAACATTTGCAATTACTGGAACATAGTACTTGGTATGCATAGAATAAAAGCAATCATTAAGAATGAAAGAAATTTGATATACTCTGCATAGGTATATATTCTAAACGAAATATCTTTTGAATAATCTTGAGAGATTTTACCTATTAAAAATTCTTCATAGATAAATACAGAATTATAAATTGTGCTATGGATTGAAATTGATCTTACTTCCTGAAGTAACTGCAAAAAGTATATATAATCCAGTTTCCTTTCTGTAATTATGTCAATATTTTTCATATTAATAATGGAATCAAGGACTATAAACCAGAAACAGGAGATGAAGGCAGCTGGGAGCATACGCATCCACACAGTGTATACACCATCAAAACCCCAAACCTCTTTTCTGAAGTAGTAAGTGTGAACTTTATCCTTAATCAAGTCAAACTCTACCTATCCCATGAAAACTTTGGACCTTTTTTTTCAGTAGCTCCGCTTGATGTTTTTTTGTTGCCTTCTTTTCTTGCAGACCAGCTGTTTTGTATTTGAAATCCAGAATTAAAAGACCCTTCTTGCAGTGCATCCTTTCCTTCTGACCCATTCACTGCATCATTTGCTTTTGCATTATTTCCTTCAGCATGTTGTCCCCCTTCACTGATGCTAGTAGATTTAGCAACTCTTGTCATTTTAATGTCCAGCTAGTTGTATTTTTGTGGCTCTTCTTTCTAAAGCTCTTAGCAGGGAGGCTTCCTGAGGACTCTCTTAGTTTGTTCTGGCTCAGAGGTTGCAGGAGACACTGTATTGCTGCGATGGGGTGGATTATTTATAGAAAATCATTCCCTAAATATTTTCTTAATCAGCTATCCTTCTGGCTGCAGAGGGGGCCAGGATTAAGGGAGGACTGGGTGGGATACTGTGATATTTGCACCCATAAGGCAATGGGTTGAGAGGGACGGGCAAATTTCTGTCAATTAGCTCTCCTCCTTTCCAGATCCAGTTTTACTCTCACACTTCTAATTATAACAACTAAATGTTCATCAGCAATTTCATGAAACTGGAACCTCTGTGCTTTGCAGGAAGGGAAATGAGAGATGGAGAAGAGGAAGATGACAAAGGAAAAAGCTGATTAAGCATAGAATAGCTTTTTTGTAACACGTCCTTTTTAAGCGTAAGGGCGGTTGAATAGAAGAGGTGAAAATTGTTCTGTCTTCTTTTTTCCTGGAAGGAACAGAGCGTGATAGAACTCACCAATTGGCATGAAGGGTTGTGAGGCAGGGCTTGGCCGGGACATGCCAATAGAATTCACAGCATAAATCCGCATCTCATAAACTACTCCTTCAATCATTCGCTTGGCTTCATAGGTTAGCTCTTTTAGAAGGTCAAAATTCAGCCTCATCCATCGATAGCTCTTCTTCTTTTTTCTCTCTAAAATATAGCCTGAAAAGAATATCTCTTATGATATAAAAGAACTGCAAATTGTTTCACATGCAGGAAAAAACACACCTTTTTTCTATGACATAAAGAGACAAACATTATTGCATATAACTGAGTTGTGTGAAGTTCAGGTATTTTCCTTAATTTTCCTTTTTTATTACTATCTTTCTGTCTGATGTTCTTATCTGAACAGTTATGCTTTTCAGAGTACACCTCACTTAGAATTGTCTATGTCTGTTCTTAGGCTTCAGTATTATTTACATGGTATACTAATTTACTCAGTGTTAGCAGCGTTATTTAGATGTGTGCAACGTAGTAAATCATTGCTGGTGAAAGGTGTGGTCATTCTGTCCTGCTGTTGGAGAAATACATGAGACTCAGGAGTTCAACAGAAAACCCATTTCTTGAAGGAGAAATTGCCTTGAAATGTGTAAAATGAGTTAAAAACTGATTTATTTCATTCTACAGCAATCTTGAATAACAGCATCAATTGCAATGCAAAATGTTAATAGGCAGAATGATTTGATATCTCCCGTAAATTATTTCATGTCTCCTTTAAAAGCAAAAATTGTTAGATATACATCCATTTATATATCCATTGCTAAGTGGCAAAATTACAGAGCGCCTGTAATTGAGTGCAGATCACAGCTGTGCTTCAACCCTACAGTGGAGTGAATCTCAGCCATGCACAGCTTCCTTACTCTCCTTCCCCTTGGGAAGGAAAGTGAAGCTGCATGATTGTAGAGAGCTGGGATAGCTGGCTATGCTGCAGAGCGTATCTGTAGTATAGCTTAGATATAGTCTTCAGTACATCTCTTACCCTTTGGTCATCCACAGGTTTTCCCACTCTACCCTACTGGGTTGTTTTTTTTGTTTTCAGAATGAATAAGCCAGATGGAATTAAGAGAGGAACTTCAGTTTAAGAGATGAACACCTTTCCCCAAACTGGGAATATAGTCTGTAATTCTTGATCCTTAATGTGGAAAGTGACTGTATAAGAGTTTGGAAGGTTTGTGTAAAATCGCTTTTCTGTGACCCGATAAGAAAGAGTCACAGAATGGTTTGGGTTGGAAGGGACCTTTATGATTATTTAGTTCCAAACCCCCTGCTGTAGGCAGGGACACCTCCCTCTAGACCAAGTTGCTCAAAGCCCATCCAGCCTGGCTTCAAATGCCTGTAAGGAAGGTGCATCCACAGCCCTGCTGGGCAACCTGTTCCAGTGTCTCATCACCATCACACTAAAGAATTGCTTCCTAGAATCTAGCCTAAGTCTACCTTCTTCCAGTTTAAAGCAATTTCCCCTAGTCCTGTAGGGGAATATCAAATTGTGAAGACTTGTGAATTTAGCCTCAGTCCATGGTGTTCACAAAGTTTGTGTCTATCAAACTTGCAGATGCCCCTTTAGTATACCTGAGAAGTATGATTCTCACAGGGCTTGAAGGGAAATGGAGGATGATAGGCATAGCAGGCCCAGACATGCTGCATCAGTAACCTTTCCTGTCAATGTTAAACTGCAAGACAAGCATAGGAATTTACAGAACGTTTTGTGAAATGAGTGGTGAAAGCTCCTTTGAGGTGACAGGTTGTATGATCACTTCTAATGTTGTAAGTTACTTCTGGTACACTTCTTTTCAGTGGCTTTTTAAACGAAGTCAAATGCTGTTGCAAAAAACCTGTGACATAGGTGTTTTTGCTTTTTCTCTCTTTATCCATGTCTGCGAAACTGGGAAAAGTTTTGGCAACTCAGTTTGATTTTTCAGTAGGTATAATTTGCTGTCAGAATGAAGGAACTTGCATACCTGTGAATTGCAATTAAAGCAGATAAAAAGAAGAGAAAAAGACCATGCTGGTTCTGTTGGTGATATTTGATAGGGCAGCTTGTCTTCCCAAATGCATAGAATGCATGATAAAGATACTGCTTTAGCAATATAGAAATGAGACCCCCATGAAAAGTATGTAACAGGGAAAAGAGGGTGTTAATTTCTGCATCTGCTAGATACAGACAGTATAGGCTGTAGAAGAATGTCTAGATCTGTAACAATATGGAGACAGATGAGAATATGTACATCTTTTTCTCCTGTCTTTTAAATTTGCTTTTTTAGGTTTCTTTGAGTGGCTATTGAACAGTAATCTTAATTAAGCAAATTGCTACATTTGCAATTCAGATGAATGTTTTTCCCTAGGACTGACCAAGACTCTTCCTTGTTTTCTTTTTCTCTGGAGGGTCACAGGTTGTCTTGTCTAGAAAACACTGTCAACTACAGAGGGCTTACTGTGGAACTGATGATATTCTTGATTGTGTCAGTTTTTTTGCTGCATCACGTGATGATTTTGGCCTCTGGATTTTAGTACACATTTTAAAATTGTTGAAGAGATTGAATTGTATTTGTGATTCATTATGTGTAGTTGTATATAGAACAGGATTAAGTAGCTTTTCATATTAAAAAAACACAAAAACACATTTTGCATAAGAGCTTGAGACTGCTAGAGTTGATGAGCAGTGCAGCCACAGCTCTGTTATTCCTAATAAAGTCCAATGGCCTCTGTACTGACTGATGGTTTCAGTCTTGAAATTGAAGTGGCACTTCTTTTAGCTTCAACTTCTTTGGCTGACTTGCCAAAATATTTCTCTGATTCAAACAGCACAGGTAGGGGGCACCATCACCCTGGTATCAAAGGGCCAGATTCTAGATGGATTTGAAGCTTTGCTTTATTAGTGAGCCTTCCTAGTGTGAATAAATGTATGAAATCCTTTTGCATCATTTTAAAGGAGCAGAAAAAATATTATAGCTGAGACTGCTGGGGACTTTGTATTTCAGCACTTCTTACCCAGTACTGGTTGCCCACCATCATATGCAGGAGGTTGCCACTGCACAGTGCAGTAATCTTCTCCAATGTTGCTGATCTTGGGAGCTTCTGGGGGGTCAGGAACATCTGAAAGAAATGTCAGAATGCATGGGAGTTGTTACTGTTTCTGTTTACAAACCAATTAAATATTTTAACTTTTTTTTTTCCTCCATATCATAAATCTAAACCTGAAGTAACCAACCATCCTGAGGAATTTCCAAATAGTTTTAGGGGCATAAGATTTTTTCATCACTGTGGTGCTTTGAAAGTGATCGTGTGGATTTACCAGGTTACAGCAGTAGGTAAAAAAGTAGGATGCATTGTTTTAGTGCAGAGGGAGTCCTACTCAAAAAAACCTCATCAAAATGTTTCCAGGTTGGGATGGTTTTCCTGTAAGTACCATTTGATTGTTCATTTCTCCTTTTCAGGCATAAACATTTGCAAAATGTAACATCTTAGGGAATTAGCTGTATACTAATAGGGATTTAGTCGACTGCCATGCTGATGCTACAAATCAGAAACAAACTGAACCCATTTGAGTCACAGGCAATGTTGGTATTTCCTTCCTTTGTATATAGTAAGACCTCTTGTAGACAGAGGATGCCTCTTATCTTTATTTCATCTATAGAAAAATACAGTTGGACATCATGCTCATTTACTGGATTTTCCACCACAAACCACTGACAGAACTCAGCTGAGTATTTTAGAAAACATCCAGTTTTTTTCTCATACAGTTAAACATGAAATAATTTACACCTGTTGGTAATTTGATGTTAATTCTGTAATGGGAGGCTTCCTCCAGGGTTTTCTGTCTGGAGTGAACTTTATAAAGTCTGCACATCTCACATTTTAATTTAGGAGATATTTGTAAAAGATGGAATGAGATCAGTGTTCATGTTGGCAGCAAATCCTAAATTTTAGTACTACAGATGTAAAGAATTTCTTGTATCAATTTAAGTTTGCTGATAACCTGACCTTTTGTTACATAGACAGTTAATAAACAAGTTAATTATTATGACAAATATAATAACAATTACTGACTAAAAAAGAAGTTCCTCCAGCTCTTCTGTGATTCACGGCATCATGCCTCTTTATTCCATATTAGCTGTTCATGGCTTAGAGAATTAAATTGCTTTTGTTTTAAAATATATATATATTTTTTCCTTATCTTAGTAGGAAATATATTCCTTAGAAGGGAATGTCATTTATAAAATGATAGGATCACCTGAAACTGGAAAAAATATGAAAAGAAAGCACAGATTTTTACTGGGAGTTGTTCTTTTCATGGAGCAGCCATCTTCCTGTGAAAAACACTTCTGCCATTTCTGGGATTGCTAGTATTCCTTCCTTTACGATCCTTTTTGCTTTTTTTCTTAAGCTGAGACTTTGGCCATTCTACAGGAATTCTACAGAATTTCAGTGAACTTGAGATGCTTTTGTGCTCTGGTTATTGCGTTCTTTCACTTACCAATAACTTTGACTGTGATATCAGCCTTATCTTCTCCCACTGGATTCTTAACTATAACTCGGTATACTCCCTCATCCTCCTTTTCAGCTCCTTCAATGATGAAGACACAGTGGTCTTCATGCTTTTCCACACGAACTCTGCCTTCAGATTGAAATAGAAGCTGTGGGCAGTGAAAGTAAAAGGAACAATCAGTGTGACTTGTGCCAGGGATGGCCTAATGAGCCTGTATGTATGTTAGTGAAAATCTTAATGCTACTGAATATTATAAAAAAAAATTAAAAAGATGTCAAATTCTTTTCGTATGTAGAGAAAACAGAGGCTAGAGTGTCTCAAAACAAGCAATTGCCAGGAAAATTGGACCTGAAACTCTCTGGGTTGTTAGGATTCATTGAAATGCAATCATGTATGTGAAACTAGCAAAGAAGTTACAAAGTACTACAAATTCCTGATTGGAATAATGGCAATGTGAAGTTTCACGGACAACAGTCAGGTAGAATGTAAATTAGAGGTGATTTGCAAATTCATTCAAGTGTATCAGCAAACATTCTAGTTCAACAGTGTCTACATCAGATAACATGGATTTGAACAATTTGTTTCTAAAAAATGTTGCCATATTTTTTTTGCTACTGTTAATGGCAAGGGTATGATTGTTGTTGCTCAAGAATGCCATATGGGATCACTTTCTGCTCTTCTCAGAGCTATGAGGTCTAAACATAACCAGAAGAACTTTGCTGTGCATTTATTACACTCTCCATACTTCACATCTGTAGGCAGTAAACAAGAAACTTCACAAAGCATCTGTACCTTTCCAGTAAATAGCACAGAAGAATCTTACGATAAATATATAAGAATATATAAAATATAAATAAATATATGTAATACAGAAACCTTTCAGAAAATTCCTTTTTTCACTGTACATACGTAGCCTATTTTCCTGACCCTGTAATAAGTTGTCTTATTTATTTTTATTTTTTTTACCCTCAGGATATTGTTGAAGCTCACCTCTTAGAGGGGGGGGGGGGGGGGGGGGGGGAGAAAGGGGGGTAAACATTCACAAATAGGTTGAAAAGAGTTTTAAACAACTTGATTCCTTGTAATTAAGCCACCATGTGATGGTAATTAGAGATTTTCTTGATCAGCATCTTACTCTAAAATCACTCACTAGATCTGTTCTGCTTGTTCAAAGAGTTTGGTAATTGCCATTGTGAGCAGAATGATGGGTGGCTGTGCTATTTACTTCACCAGTTTTGAAATCTACTGACTTGAATTTTGTTTTCTTTCAAACTGGACCACTGAAATGGAAAGCATTAGGCATGTTTCTGTGTCTGCATAAATAAGGAACTCACCTTACTATCGGTACTTAAATCACTGCTGTTTTCTGAGGGGGTCATAGAATCTTCACTGATTTGAAGAAGCTCACCTTTCTAAATAAACAAAGAAACCACAGAAAGATAAATATTTCTGAGCAGAATATGAAAGCTGTTTGTTTCTGCAAGACAGGAGAAGAGTCCATAGGTACGCTGGGGTGCTTGAACATAAAGGTGTGAGAAATATCGTAGAGCACAGTAAAAGATTAAACTGAACTGGGAAGGAAATCAACATGTGAAATGAAAAAGCAGAAAAGGAAGTAGATATGTCAGACTGCAGTGATTTAGAGGAAGGATAAGTCAGCAAAACCAAATCTACAGCTTCATAAACAAAAATGCATGACATTCCCAAAATAGAATTTTAACTGATCATAAATCAGTGTATGTCCTGTGGTAATATTTATAATGACAAAAATGTAATAGTGGGATAGTAAGCCCATATAGGCGTCTTAACAGTCTGAAATACAGTCAGGACTGTAATTCATCATCTAATGTGTTCTGAAGCTGTTACATAATTCTGTATACATTCTGTTTAGAATTTTAGTAGTTAGCACATGCTATACAGCATTCATATCAAGCCCAGCTTCCTTTAGTTGTGTTTTGGGACTTCACACCTTAGAAGTAGTAAGGTCTGTCTGATACTCAATCATCATTTTGTGAGAGAAACCTTCATTTCATCAAAGAAACTGGCAAATGAGGGAAGCAGAAGAATTGCCCTTGGTTTCTAAAAAAAAGAGATGAATGGCTTTTTTTGTTAGGGTCTATACTAATTCTGTATTGCGGAAATAAGTCCTAAATTATACTAAATTTCCCACTCTCTTAAAGAATGCTACAAAATTGGGAAGAAATGAGACTGAGGAAATGAATGTAATTGGCAGTATTATTTTTGTCTGTATCAGTTTATTTTCTGTGATACCTATGGGAAGTGTAGCGATGCTGTAGAATATTATGTACATTTTTTTGTACTAGTTATAGCACAAGAGCACACAGATGGTGAGGGGTGTGGATACTCTGAGATAGCCATAAAAGAAGCTCACTCACCACCTCACTCTGGTGTCAAGATTCTCATCTTTTTGACGTCTTGCAATTCCTCTGATTAAGCAAATAGCAAGTGTTCTCTATTCTTATTATACCAACTATTTTTCTTTGCAAATTGTAGAAGAATCATTCAGACTATAAAAAAGAAACTGTCACCTCCAGAACATGCCCATGATATTAGGTAAGATCATGGTTCAGTGGTCTTTTGTTTCATAGAATCATAGAATTGTTTGAGCTGGAAGGGACCTTTGAAGTCATCTAGTCCAATTCCCCTATAATGAACAGACACCTACAGCTACAGCAGGGTACTCAGAGTCCCATCCAACCCGACCTTGAGTGCCCCTGGGGATGGAGCATCCACCTCCTTTCTGGACAAGATGCTGCAGTGCCTCACCACCATTATTGTAAAAAAAACTTCTTCCTTATAACCAATCTAAATCTTCTCTCTTTTAGTTTGAAACCATTTTTCCCTTTGTTAAATGGCAACAGACTGTGCTGAAGAGTCTGTCCCCTTCTTCCTTGTAACTTGTCCTCTTTAGCTGTCCTCTATTTTTCTCTAAGACATTGAGAGAATAAGTCTGTGTGGTATCCTTCTATCTGCATAGATGTACATCTGCTCATATGTATACAACACCTACTGGATGGAAGAGGCAACTGTTCCTAAAAAGAACAATTCAAAGTGACTCCTACAAGAACAGCAACTTAAAGACATGTATTGCAGCTATTTATTTTCTTCTTAATGAGTTAAAAATAAATAAATAAATAAATAAAGGAACATGAAAATACTTGTTATTAAGAACTTTAATTCAAACATACACTTGAAAAAGAAAATTTATCTCCCATTGTGGCTGCCTTGTCTCAGCTATTGTGTTAGATTATCTTGTTGTAATACGCTGTCATTGTTGAACTGTATAATCAATGAATGTACAGATGTTATAATTATGAAATACACCAGAGAGTTTGGTTAAGCAGTTATTATACCAAAAGAGAATAGATAGAAAGCTTACCCATATCCTGGGCTCACTAGGAAACTCCAGAGGAGGGGATCTCCAGAAGAGATCCTTCCCCACTCGTAGTCAGCTCTTAAATGGGTCTAGGAGAGCTGCAGCCAGGCTCCACCCCTTCCAGCAGCACAGGTGAATTGCCTTCACCTGTGATCCCGTGGCTGACTCATTGCTCACCTCAGGTGATCAATCAGAGGTTCAGGCCATGATTCAGCAGTTCCCATACATTGAATGTATTACCTTGTTCACTTTCTGCCAGATGACAGTAGGTGTTGGATCTCCTGATATGGGAACATCCAATCTCAGTTTGTTCCCAGCCACCACAACAATAGTGTCAGGGGATTGACCCAGACAGTCCAGATGGATTTTGGGAGGTTCTTTAGGAAAGGCAAAGAAAAATTGAGTGTTGTGTATGAGAAGAAGGTAAATACTCATGTCTTGCATCAAAAATGAAAATACAGTTTCCTTTGCTGTTGAAAACATATTTAGTTGCATATGAGTAGTGAATGTTGTCCTTACCTTCTCTTGGTACAAAATCAATCTTGACCTCTGCAGAAAAAAAAAAAAAAAAGGTGGAGGTAGGAAAAACAGGTCAGAAAACAGAATTTTTGCACTATCTCCATCCAAAAAGTAATTAAAAAAAATAAATAAATTACATTATCAGAGGGCATATGCATCTACAGATCAATGTAAATAAACTGCAAAACAGGCTCTTTAAAACAATGTACTAATGATAACAAAATAACAGGGAAAACCAATATAATGCAACAATTTTATGGTAGGAAGGATATTCTCCACACTCCTTCCTGATAGAGCCATGTTTAGTTCCATCTCTTTATCCCCATGGAATTTCTGTTTCATCTGCTAAGATAACTTACCCAAAAACTGGAGCTTGGCAGAAAGGTTGTAGGCAAATCCCTGAGGAATGAAGGAATAGTCAGCCTCATCAGCTGGTGTAACGTCCTCAATAGTTAGCTTATGGATCCTGGAAACATGAACAAATATGTGTCACTCCCTTATGCTACTTTTCCAAGAAAAATGGGGCTATCTCAAGAGACAAGGTGCAGACTATAAGATATTAGCAAACATTACATTTTGTTCTTCCCTTTCCCTAACATCAAGAGCTACCAGAGCTGCGGACTGCTCCACTTTCAGTGTTTGTTTGGGTAAATCAATCTCAGCGCAGTGTCTGTGAGTGGACCTCTCAAAGTAAATGCAGAGTCTACTCTGAATAGAGGAAGTGGTTTCTAATCTTTATTCTGGCAATTTCAATACAGAAGACAGAAAGGGAGTACCAAGGAAGAATTTATCTGATGTGTACTATTTATGTATTTTATGGATCTTGTTCTTCATTTCTGATAAGAGGTAGGCTGCTAAAAAACTGCTAAGAATGGTGCAATTGTGTATGTTCTAATGTTTTTACATATGAAGACCACTGTTTTTTTCTGAAGGGTAAGTGCTATATTCATAGATATACAGCTATATTCATCTGTCTAAGCAGTATTGGGATTTTTAAAGTTACTACAAATGTGTTTTCTAAATGATTTCAATAGCAAGAAAAATGTGATCTCTAAATGAAAACTGGAAATGAATTCCGCTGATACCATAAACACAAAATGTACCAACACACTTGCCAAACAAGTTAGTGACTATGTGTTTATTGCACATGAAAAGGTTTTAACTTTTTCCTTCTAGTTGTAGCTAGGATGAAGTCTTGTTTTATATTCCCACTCCCACTGAGATGATAATTCCTGTGTGTTGTAATGTAATACTGAAACTTGTATATTCTTTCTGAAAGAAGACTAACCTGCCAATATGGGAGATCTTTATCCTTTCATCTGGCACCACCTCCTTTCCATTTTTCAACCAGATTCCTTTCACATTTTCATCAGAAACTTCACACTTGAAGACTGCCTGGTCACGTGCCTTCACTGTCAGATCCGCAATGCTCTGATAAACTTCCAGCTTTTTCTCTGATTTTGTGAGAATAAGCAATACACACAACTAATAAGAATAGATCTGTTAATGAGTAGCTGATATGGCTTTACTGAGTAGAAAAAAACTAGGACTGTTTGTGAAAAGGTGAAATACGAAGGCAAATCCACAGCATGCGGGGCTTTAACAGGGCTGGTAGCTAAGCACCTGTTAGTATCAGAGTATCTGTTACATCTGGCATGTAGGTCTGAGTTCTCCCTGAGGTCTCTATTATCAAACCTTATACAGCTTCTGAAGTACTTTCTTTTCCATGGTGTAAGGCTTTTGCTACACCTCTCTGCTATCCTTGAGAAGGTTATCTTCAGCCTGTTTTCACTTTCCGGCTTCTGTAATATCTGCACTTACCTTGTACAATTAGTTCAGCAACTGATACCCCACCATTTGTCTTCACTGTGTAGTGTCCGCTATCCTCCTTGGTTGACTCGTTAATAATTAGATATTGCTTTTTTCCATCTTTCTTAAATCTGTACTTGAATGTTTCTTCCCGTGTCAGCTCAACACCATCCTTTTCCCTGCAATCCCAAACAGTGTTGAGTCATTTTTCTATGGGTGGAAGAGGTGGGTAAGAGTCAGCTCAGTGTTGAAAGTCACAAGATAAATCCAATCTTTGTAAAATTTAGAGTTAGCAAAAAAAGAGACTATTTTACAAATGCTAGCAGAACCAGAACTGCTAGGGAACAAAATACTCCTAGCTTGACCATTTGTGCTCACTGGTTATTTGACTTGTGTTCCAAGAGAGTTCACTCAAAGGGAACTCCTTGTTTGGTATTATCCATATGCTGTAGATACATAACCGTACATTAAATGCTGTAGAAAATACAGGGATGAAGAAACACCTTACCAGCAGCGAAAGTACAATCTTAAAATCTCTGCTATATGGTAATCAGGACTTGCCTTAGTCTTAATTTTCCTGAGGTGAATTGTAGTTGTTATAATTTAATCATTTGTGGGCATCCGTAAAAGAAGAAAAAATAAAGATGATTTTAAATGAAGATATATTTAAAATTTTTGTAGTTCCTTCCATTCAGGGATACTACAGTATATTTAAGACATACTAAATAAAGCTTCACAGGGCAGCCTGAGAGGAAATCTAATTATTGTAATTTCCAGTCATCATGAAGGGAAACAAGCACAGAGGATTCAAGCTGTTTAGTCAAGGTCACACAAAAATATGTAAGACTTTTTAAAGCTTTCCTGTTCTTAATCCTAAATAACATCGATTCCAAAAGAATAACTTGGAATTTCTTCAACTTTCTGCTTTTGTAGCTTTTTATATTTTAATCGTTATTTGAAAATGTTTGTAGTACTCCAATATCTCTGCAGAACGTAAATTGAAATGTTTTGTTATGCTTTTAGTATAACAGAAAGTTGCTTTCTGTATTGTATTGTTGCTCTTATTTTTTCTGCCAGCTATTCAGATTAACATGTGCTCATCAAAGCTATCTCAGTGTTCTAGTCTAGCGCTTTGGAGAGAATGAGATCACTTGATCTCTTTAATGAAAATAGAATGTTTGCATTGAACAGTGTCTTAAAACCCCGGGATGAGAATAGTATTTTTATCTTTTGTTTGATTTAGGAGTGCACTGAAAGTAGTGGAATGATTACATCCCTTCTTTTGGCAACAAGCAATGAAGCAGTAAGGTCAAGTGATAATTAAGATGTAAGAGGAAGATTCTATAGAACAGTGTAAGTGTTGGTTAAAAGACCATCATAAATTACTTGCAGATACCTGTGACAGAAAAATTATGTAACAGTGGGGGCACCGGGATTTATTGCTATTACGACTTTGTTATAGTTTGTTTTCATTGCAGCTCTTTGCTCCAGCGCTCAGCCATGGAAAGATGAAGTCAAAACTGTGCCTTTTATTACATCTTTTTCTCCAAAAATTTTATTACTTCCAAAGCTATTTGAAGTTTAGAAATAAGTACTCTGTAGTATTTTGTAAGAATAATGTGAAGTCTTTGCAGATGGTTATGAGAACATTCTTTCCTGTTTACTACAAGGAGGCTCATGTGATGAATTCTCTAATCCTTAGTCTGATGGCAATGCTAGAAGCCTCTTAAATCCTGTGCAAGTCATGTATTTCTTTGTCCATGTGCCTGTAACTTCATCTCCTGAGTTTAAAGGATACAAGAGCTGTAACAGGTTCCTTTCATAACTGTTACTTTGCTTAAACTGTTGAGCATTTCCCTAACGTTCCCTAAGACGTGAAACTGGAGTTCTTTCTCCATACCACGTCTCATGTTTTTCCTGGACTTTTCTTTCTCTTGTCTTTGTTGCCAAAGAGCACTGACTGAGCCTCACGTAAAAATGGTGAAGTGCAGTGTAAATGTCTAACTGCTCTGTTTTCTGTTGCTATGCATTGAAGAGTTTCTCTGATCACTTGCTGCATTTCAGGCAGACAGCTGCTCCTTTGCTCTTGTCAAACCAAATGCCCATCCCACTGATAACAGCTCGGCAAGATGTATGGGAGTTGTTCAAAGGCATAGGATCAAAGTGTGGCAGCTGCACTGTGCTCTGAGGGACAGATATGGTTGTCCCCATCTCTTGTGACCAGGCATCTGTAAACAGTTCCTGAACGATAGCGTGTGTGTGCCCGTGCTTTGGTTTTAAGAATGTAATGCATATGCTATAGCAATTCTTGGACTCCATGTAAATTCTCAGTTCCTTCCTTTGGGAGAGAAGATGTGTGAAAGCGCTTTTCGGGAATGTAATGGGCATTGTGGGAACATTTGATAACCATGTGCTTGAAGCTGTTAACAAGCACAAGAGAATTTCATCTGGTAGAGAAATGAAGTGAGAACAGTGTGCATAAGGCCTGGTATGTGAGGACTGCCTGCTGTGCCTGCTGGAGCATTACAAACCTTCCAGCTTTCCCCCAGCTGGAATGTCCAGCCAAATGAACTCTATGGCTACAATGTTTGTCATCTTAATCCCACTTGCTGCATATGCATAATGTCTGGCTTTGCAGAATCACCACAATGAATATGTTAAAATCAGTCAATGACCTTCCCTCTCTGTGCCAGCAGACTCTAACTTTTTACTGATGTGAAAAAATAATTGCAACTGAGGAGATCAGAGCTCATCACAATACAGATCTGATTAATCTGCACAGTAATTAGATTTTGCTGTCAAACATTTAGAAAACTTTAAAATTAACAGCTTGGTGGAATCGGTAACATCCTGTAGCTACAGAAAAAGAAATTCTAGAGACTATAAAATATCTACACTTAATTTGTTTTCTGTAACCTTCTGGCCTCTGAATTCTTCCTTAGTGCTTGAAGTATAGGACGATGCTATATTATTATTATTATTTTCTGAGATCAGTGTTGTAGGATGCCATCATTCTTTTTTATTCCATAGCTCTTCTCCAAAAATGCTGATCCTATGTGCAATGGAGGAATATTTTTTTATATTTGTTTACTGATTCTTGTTGTTGTTTTTTGTTTGTTTCTTTCTTCTTCCCTTACCATTTCACAGTAGCTCCTTCCTCAGACACTTCACATTCAAACTCCACTCTCTCTCCAACCATCACCATTTGATCCTCCAGGGGGTGAGTGATCAGGATCGGGGGCTCTAGAAATGAAGAGGCCTTGATTAAAACACTGTTATGAGAGACTGAACACCACAGGTAAATGTCAATCAGTCTGCAGGTAAAACCCCTGGCAGAATAAAAAGTAATGCTCTCTGTGCTGGATCATCACTATCAATGCAATCTGATGACTTCTTGATAGTTGGTTTGTGAGACAAAATGAAAATACAAGATTAATCAGTTTTCATACATATTTCAAAATTCTGAGCTAGGTATGTTAGTTTTCTTATGAAGCTTGAGGCACATATTTCTCTTGAGTGGAATCTGATTTTTAAAGTAAATTTCTATCCCTATTGTTGGTAAACATGGATAATTTCCAAATGAGAATTAATGATAATTTTTACTGTGCTCTTTTTGTGTGCTTTCTCAGATGTAGCTGCTGGGAAAGTCTTTCTTTATTTAACTTTAAGAAAAATACTTGCTTTAATAGAGCTCAGATTTTGCTCGTGCGTTTGAATTTCACTTGAGATTGACACGTCTGAGAATAAAGAAGGATTTGACAACAATTTGATGCTAAATGTTAGAGCGGGATCTCTTTCCTTTATCTGCCATTGCTCACCTTTTACAAACAATTCTGTGAAGCTCTTCTCCTCAGCTACCACGCATTCATAGGCTGCATCGTCAGCCAGAGAGCAGTGGTTTATGGTCAATATTCTCTTATTCCCAACGGCCTCAAAAATGTATCTGAAAAAAGAATGTAAGGGTAATCAGAGAGTATCTCTTCTGGACTCAATTGGTGTCTTCTACTGCCAGGCAGAAAAGAAAGCTTCACACTTTTTCTCACATCAATGGCAAGATACATGAAGACTTAAGCCCTGTATCCCTGTCTGAGCACAGTGGGTGGAAACATGAGAAATTTGAAAAATTTGACAAATGAGCACAGGGAATTGTGGAGAACTCTTTGTACTGAACTGACACACACAAACTCCTGTGAATGTTGTTGGCATGCTGGTTAGTCTACATGCTTTTCGAATGCAGCCATACGGCAGATGTGGCTGCCATTAAAATTTCTTGGCACTGCTTAGCATCAAATCATTGGAATTAGATTTTACAAACAATCTACAGTAAAGAATATCCCGTATCATACAAAAGTGGATACATAAACAGTAGAGCATAATTAGAGAACTTACTTGCTGGGTAGGTAGATGTGATTATCCCATTCCACATGTAGATAGAGCACAGGAAAGAAAAGAAACAGCCATGAGAACAGTAAACTCGCCCCAAATTTATGTACCATGTAGATTTCTTTACAGCTCCCTATTTTATTTATCCTTTCATTCATGTCTTTCTAGGAATAACTTGTTTTTCCACCTTGTCCATGCTGCAGCCCATTTCTTACTGTATTCCTGTTCTTGTTTACCTGCCGCTCACTTGGATCTCCTGTCCATTCTTCAGCCATTTCACATCAGCATCTGGATTGGCAACTTCGACCATTAATTTAATCTTTTGTCCTTTATCCACTTGATAAGCAGGATCCAGTTTCTTGAGGAATGCTAAGATGCATAATGATTTTAAAAAAATAACTATATTAATACTATTGTTGCATCTCTGTCAGGAAGAGTCTTTTGTTTACTGTCATCCTAAACCTTCTCCACCTTTTCCACTTTCTGCATCCATGTTTTCATTTTCACAGTTTCCTTTTCTCTGTTCTTGTACTGTTTATAGGATGAAAGCGTGTATTATCAAGGTAAAATGAGCCAAGTAGCATGTTTCAAATCAGTTGTAAATATGTACTTCAGCATATCCTTGGGGAAGTTATAGCTAAGTGAGCCTATAGAAGGATGATAATGATCTTCTCAGTACTAATGAAAGGGAATTTAATTTATCTGCTTCAGACTTTTAAAACAAATGATTTAAAATTACTTAGTTAATACTTGACAAGACTAGAAAAGTCTCAATCCCAAATGTATTGTGCTTCAAATGTTTTTAAGAAACCTTCCCCATGGAAATTAAGTTGTTTAAATGTATCACTGATGTCTGATGTACTGACTGGTTTTTGGGTTGTTTTTGTTTTGTATTCAAGATAAGGGTCAGAGCAGAAGAAACCTGTAGAATGAGAAGGTTCAAAACACCCAGGGTTTCAGAGCAGAGTAGACCAGAGCATTGGGCACAGCTCTGATCTTTGGTTATCACTATTTTACATATAAAGACCATGAAACAATTGGAACAGGAAACTGTGCAACACTCATATTTCTCATGCTCTTCTGTCTGGCTGCTGTCCAGTTGATATCTGAAGAGCTCCCAGACAGGAATATACTGACACATAGATTTTGGAAGAAATACAGTTTGCCAACCTGTACTTTTTTTCTCTTCTTTCTTAATGCGTTTGAGGCGTTTCAGCATCCCACGCAAATCTGTGATACCATACTGAAAAGCAATTTTCTCGTATTCAGAAGGAGGAGCTTTCCTCAGGATTTCCCAGACATCAACATCAGGTTGTGAATCACTTTTTCCATCACCTCTGCAAAAAAAGATGAAGCTGTTTCTTAATAAATAGTCTATATTTACTATATTATCATCAAAAATTAAAAAAAAATTGTACGGCAGGTTAGTTTTACTTAAATATATTTATTTGTGATGATTAAAATTCAAATGCTATCCTGAAGGATTTACTGTGTAATAGCCAAGGCAGGTAAATTTTAGTTTCCCTTAACAGTGAGGGATTGAAACACAGAAGACTTACTGCTCTGTGATGACTGTACACAAAACTTGGCTGTGCAAGCCGATATCCTGAGAATGCCTTAGAAAGAAGGCAGTTGGTTTGTTTTAATAGGAAACAAGCAATTTTCTCAGGACATTTTTCCTATTTGCTAATTCAGTGGGATTATTAAAATATCTATTATTTTTTGCAAAGGCAATGTTGAGTACTGGCAATGAGACAATACTTACAACAGTATACTTATTTTATGATTTAACCAAAGAACTGGTGATTACAGGAGAATCAGTGTTTGATTTAGCAAAACCAAGAGGAAAAATAGGTTCTCTGGTGCTGGGGAAGGTTTTGTTTTTGTTTTTTCCCTGTCATCATGTTTTTTTAATTAAAAAAATCAGAAATAGAAAAGAAATTGGTGTAACCCATGCTGTCTTACCGACTTGCAGTGCGCAGGAAACTGCTGAACTCAGGAACGATGAACAGAAGCGTTCAGAAAAGCGTGCAGCATCCCAATAGCAAGAAAGAGGGCATAATGCATTAATACAAGAGAGTCATGAATGTCATCTTCACCTTTAGCAGAATAAGCCTGTACTTTAGCAGCAGGGAGATGAAGGTGCTTGTGCAAAAGCTCTGAAATAGCCTTAAGAAAAGTGCTGTTCCCTAGTGATGTGAAATTATCTCACTCAGTTTGTACAGTTCCACTCCATATTTTAAGCTGCGAGTGCAAACCCTTCTGCTTGTTCCTAATGATGGCAAATGACCTTATAGGGAAGTAAGTAGCTCTAATTTGCTCTGTCTTCTTGGGTCTGTTGCCTGATACTGTTTGACAAACAGAATGGAGAGAAGCAGTAACGTTTTCTTTACTTTTCCTAAACTTCTTGTGGTGATTGTTTCTGATGTTGCCAGGACCAAGCAGATTCCACTGCAGTGAAGCACACTCATTTAGTAAAGTCATGTATAGTGGTAAACCCCAGCATGCAGACCACTTATGCAGCAGGCAATGTTGAGAAAAGTGGAGGATTATGGAAGGATTATCTTTGTTATCCAATGGAGAATTATTTCTTTCAGGAAAAGAATTTATGAGGAATTTGACTACATAACAAAGCACGACTGTCGTCAGTCTAGGCCATAGTTGTAACCAAATGTTTTAACAGTGTTGTGACTGACCAAAATGGTCTTGTTTGTATCAAGAATGTTATGGTCATTAAAGTACTGCAGTCAGTGCTTAACGTTTCCACCGTCATTGTTGTTCTTGAACAGGAGAAGGGAGACAACAGAAGAGGCTTTCAGCTCAGTGAATGCAAGCTGAAGTATGGCATGCAAAGTCTTTATCTGTGGAGTAGTTTATCTCACTGAACATTAAGTCTTCACTAGCACTCACTGGACTGACAGTGTATCTGAAGTTTGAACTGAAGTTTTAATTTTTGATATTTTTTGGTAAATATTAAGAAAAAAAAAAAGAGAGGAACAAAACCAAAAAGCTAATGGGATATTTGACCTTATTTTTGTGAAACTAATGTGACAGTCTTGTTCAGTTGCAATTCTTAGTGTGCTCTCAAGGTGTTCATGAGAGATTTTTGATGAAATTTAATCTTCCTGTACTTCATCCTTGACAGTTGTTCACACTGACTTGACAAATGTGCACACTGACAAAGAGCAATCACGTGAATAAGATGTGGCTGTGAAGCAAAGGATATTTTTCTAAGAGAGTGCTTATGAATGTTTGGTAAAAACAGCATCACACTTTTGTGTTGAATATCTGATTGCAACTCTATACATTCCATTTGAAAATTTGCTGATGCTGTTTTTTTTTTTTTTATGATCTTGGAACCTCTTCTCAAACTCCTTTATCAAACCTGAAAGCAGGGCTTGGATATTCAATGCTGTTCGGAGCACTTTTTTAAGCCAGTATATCAAAATGCATACAATTGTTTGCCATCACTTGAGTCAGTGCTGCACAGCAATCCCCTCCCCGTACCCTGGTTTCAGTCAACACAGTGTTAATAGCACACAGGAGGATTTGGTTGTTGCTGAGCAATGGGTGTGTGCCCTGGGGCCACTCTGTGGGGAAGAGCTGCTGGAGGCAGTGGGCAGGAACTGCAGGTTGGACATGCCTGGCCTAATATATCTCGCTATTGAAAAGACCTCCTTAATTTTTGCTTTAACTTTTCCATTACTCAGTGTCATCCCATTTGTAGGTCTGGCAGTACTGCTTAGTAGCATGCGAGTGGAAATAAAAGAAATAGGAAATAGCAGTATTTACAGTAATTAGAGGAGAAAGCTTATAACTTGTACGTTTGTACAAAATGGTACTAAAAGTTAAACATTATCATTTGTGTAGTGTTGAACTGGATTCTCAAAAAGAAAAAAACGAAACCCATTCTCTGCCTATAGGTAAAGGCTTCACCATCCCAGTATGCCTTCTCACCATTTTGTTTTTTAAAACATTCTTTTTGATTCCAGAAGGACGTAGGCTGTACTCTTGTGCTGTCAGTAAGAACTAAATGGTGTATGAAAAGTAACTGAGAGCTTGGACTCTCAGAGTTTCTCCCACACTTAAGTTATTCTCCTTGATATTGGGGATCCTTAACAAGGATGATCACCTCATACATTAACTATGCACTTGGGACCGTTAAGATGGAGCTTAGTGGATCTGCTGTAAATGGAATATGCAGCTGATATGTTTTAAACATATGTGGAAGGGTTAAAAATAGTTTTGTACATCCCAGAGATGGTTCCTTCCTATCCCATTACTGTCAACTGAATGGACCCTGTCAGCTGTCACCTCCTTCAAGGTCTCTGCTCACTTTCCCATTTAATAGCTCTATGACAGCTGTTCCCTTCCTCTTCCCAGTGACCTCTCCTTGGCCCATGACATCTGTATGTCAACACCAGTTAATTAAATTACAGTGATAAGAGATATAATATTAAAAGAAGCTCTTCCTATTATAGAGAGAATGTTCATTACCTCTGGATTGAGGGCACTTGTAAAAAGGGAGGAACAAAGCAGAAGTGGTAGAACAGTCTTCAGTTCTTTTTGAATCTGCATAGCTCTTTAAAGTTCCTCAGCATGAGGTCCTTTTTATCTGTCCTATTCTAATGAAAAACACTTTCATTCCATGGTAAGTTTGTATGCCTTTCAGTTCTCATTTAACATAGGAGCAGTTTTCAGCCTGTAGTGTGCAAAGTCTGAAGGACTCACAAATTACTTCTAAAGCAACTGTGAAGAACAACTAGGAACAGTGAATTTAACAGTGTGCTTAAGTTACCAAAACAGGAAATTTTGTAACTCACAAAGGGTCAAAAACAATGATAGAATGCAGTGAAGTTATTTTTGTCTAACAAATATTGAATAGTTAAATAATCAAATTGAACATTGCTGGAAATACTGGTGACATTTGCTACTTTTTAGAGTTCTATGTTTACTCAACAGAAATTAGGAACGCGTAATTTTTTTACGTTGGTCTCCATTTATTCAAAACTTCAAAAAAGAGGTCACTAGTTCTCTTCCCTTTTATATATATGTAGGATTCATGTACAACTACTGTGTTAGAGCTCTCAGTTTTGGTTACTGCAATTATTCAGAAAGTGTATTTTCCTTACTTTAAAATTACAAAAAAAAAAAAAAAAAAGTAATTCACTTTTTGTCTCAAACGTCTCTGGGGTTCATGATGAAACAAGAAAGTTTGATATCAATATCAGTTATAGGAAGTTTGATTGTTGTACTTTCTTCTTCCAGCTGGCCCCTTTGAGGGTTCTGGTCGGTAGTGTTACTGCAAAACCAGAATGCACTTCTAGTTGGATATATTTTTCAGAGGTCACACATAATGTGGGGCTTGCTTTAGATAAGCTAGCTGCAATGCTATTGAGGCTTTATTGCTTTCCAAAGTCAGATGTCTGACTTCAGATGTCTGTATGGTTTGAGTCTTTACTTTTGTGAAGTTAGAGTGCATCTCATAAGCAGTGATACGAGCACCTGAAGAGAAACTGAGCACAGGTTCACAAGTTCACTAAGTCACGGATTGTGAGAACTTATCCTGGCTATGTATATTTGCAAAACATGAGTCATGTGACAAATAGCTACAGTAACTTCAGGAGACAGAAAGAGAGAGCGACCATGGACAATAATCAGAAGGAAGCATGCCTGCAGTAATGGATGATAATGAGCAATGGAAATTTTGCCTGAAATATGAATTATTATTTTGTAATGAAGAAGTCTGTACATTTATGGATAAGTTACTTTAGTAGTATGTTCACTGTACATATTTAATGATGAATGATGAATGCAGTAAAGCTTGAGAGCAATTTGATTGACACTAGCGCGTAGATCAGGCAGATGATGTGGGATCAACAAGAAGCTTCCCATTTTCAGTTGCTATAATAATGGGAATTTAAAGCAACAGCTTATTGAGAAAATTTGTGTGTTAAAGCACTATTTACATATCCTTATAAAAGAAAGTGATGGTGAAAAACAAAGGACAGGAAAATACATTAATTTCTACTAACTGATTAAAAACATTTCTATCTCAAAAAATTGGCAGCAGGTGACTTTCTTTCATACCATCTAATTTTTGTCACATTCTACGTGTAAGATAATAACGCATGCATTGTTTCAAACTGAATGTTTCCTATATTCAGTGTGAGCCATGCATTTATAATCAAAAGAAGTAGAAATCTTACTCTCTGATGCCAACAGTGGAATCCAAAACATCCAGATTACAATGGTGGTAAAAAGAAAAACATAAATAGAGAGGTTGTGAAGACAGTTGTGCCAAAGAAGGATGACAATGGGAAGAAGAAAGTTCACAAAAGAAAGTGAAAGTGAAAATAAGAAATTGGACTTGAAATCAAAATAGTAAAGTATGTTGTATAATATGTATGCAACATGGAATTTCTCTATATAGTAAATAGGTATAGTGTGTCTAATATATAGCTGTACAGTATAATAATAATAGTAACATTAAATATCTAATAAAAATGCTTCTCTTTCTGGCTCTGCCCTGCCATGTATTGTAAAAACTTAGAACAGAAAGTTCTTAGTATGGCAGTCTTATAGATATGTATTGTAATTTTAATTTTTGAAGTGAAAAAATGGTGGTGGAAACAAATAATTGTCCTAGGCTCCACGCTTTCCTTGGGGGTAGGAGGGAATCCTTTCTGTTTTTTTCTCTACTGTAAACCCAGCAAGAATGCAGCAAATCTTCAATATTTGGGGAAACTGAATTACCTGTCATCTTTTTTTCTAGCCAGAGCTGCTTTTTAGAAAAGCTACAAGGATTCTAAACTTAGGAAACTTCCACTTACTCTACTTCTGGCATTCTCAGTTATTCCAGAGAAGCTGATAATTTTACATCTCGAAAAATAATGAAGTTTTACTCACCTCTTTTTGAGTAGGGCACTAAAATTCAACTCTCCAGATTCTTCAGATCCCTCAGTACTGTGTAGTAACAGAAGAACTTAATTAGTTTCCGAAGGAAATGGAAACAGTTTGTAAAACTATATTGTGATGTAGAAGATATGTTCTGTGTAGGAGAACAGTAGAAAGGTTTGGAAAGAGTTTGGAATTTGCTCTGTCGTGGCAGAGGACTTAATTAGGTGTTTAGTCTGTACTGACCTTCATACGGGTTTAAGAAATTTACTGATTATAAGGAGAATTGTACAGGGTATTATTTAGGTGGTCCTGTTGGTCTGGAATGTGTTTGCTCTCCTACTGATGTTACAGAAGCTTTCCTTTAGACTCACTGGTGCTTTTAGAAAGCTGTAGTTTCAGAAATATGCGTATTGTTTATAGTATGGACCTGCAGAAAACCCGTCTTTCTAAAGCTGAAAATGACAATTATTTTTGCTATTATGCCAGCTTTTTTTCTATTAAGTCTCCTTGTGATTCCAGAGTTCATTATAAAGAAAGAAGTATCACATTGTTGGTGCTTGGGAGAGCAAAAGTAAGAATTCTGTCATCTGACTTGAACCTCATCTCAGGTTTTAAATTGCTCAAGAAGTATCATGACAAATAATGTTGTGATGAACTGATTTATGAGAACGAGAATTTGGCAATGCCATCTCACAGCGTTCTGATTCCTCCCATAGCAGCACCTGATCTTTAATTAATGCATATACAGAAATTACTCTTTCAGCTGAACTAGTGGTAGTCGAAATAACAGTCTCTCTGATGAAACAGTGCTAGTTACATCAGAAAATACCAATCTGTCTGTAGACCTGCAGCAGAACGTAAGGGGAACTTGATATGGCATGAACAAATATAAAAATATGTAGGAAAATGGCCTCAGCAGATAAAGCATGGACATTCTACTGGTGATAAAGATAGAAGGGAAGGAAGTGCCAAGTTTTTCAGTGCTGCTCGACAATGAAAGGTTGGTGACAAAAAATAACAATTCAAAAGCATATTTATTTTGAATCACTGCTGTTTTAAATAAGCTGTGAGAACTTCCTATTAAGAAAGTATCATTTTTACTTCTGTGATTACTTTCAAGATAGTACAGTAGTAGAAAGGATAATTTTCTTGTTATAACATTCAAGCAAGGAAGTACATTTCTGGCCACTGTGTTTCCTGCTTTGAGCACATTTTCAATGGTTGCAGGCATAAAATATATACAGAAATTTCTATTATAACATCAGATTTGAAAGGGCTGCTTCTGAGTAAATATTCAGGAAAGCAGAATCTAGAGGTGTGAGGGGAATTAGTCATGTTATTACTTCCAAGATGGTAATTACAATCAGATTTTCAGGAAAGCCCCTCGATGTTTAGCTCTTCTGGAAGGTACAGCTTTAATAATTGCTTTAGCGTGTGTTGAGTTAAATCTCATCTCAAGCTTTTAAATTGACTGTAGAAGACATCAGGACCAAAAGAGTTAGGAGGGAAATTTAATGATAAATTAGGATGGAGAGTGTGGCAGGAAACAATAGATTTTTACACACATATGAGTTGATACATTTATTTGAGAAAATTTGGTTAGGATATGATCAGTCAAGAGAAAAAAATGTAGAACAGAAGGGCAGGCATGCATATCATTTGAAGTTTGCGTGAAGATGCTACTTGCCAAACACGTGCTGTTTTTTGTGATGAATCTGCCTCTCACTGAACTATCAAACTACAGTTTTCAGTATCTTACACTTATACTACTACTTACTGTTATACATTCTACATTCTACATACAGTCTCCTGTAGCACTAAATACTGTAAACCATTGTTTATTGTGAAATTGTTTATAATCAAAAGTGAATCCAGTTCTGTGTTGTTGTTTTTTGTTGTTTTTTTTTTTAATCCTTTTCCTGATCAGAGAGAGACAGTTCATTGTTAGGCTTTAATTTGTCTACTGACACAGTCAGAGACTACCTGAGAAAGGCTGAAGTCATCCGTCTGCCCCCTCCTGCCAGGCTCCTGAGTGAGGGTATCAAACACAGAGCTTCAGATTTAAATAGTTCTGTTTTGTATTTGGCTTCCTTCTTAAAGAGGGAGCTAAAAATCTGAGCAGTCTGAAGCTGCTCACGTACTCACTCTCAAATGATTCTGAAATAATTCTTTTAATCCTGCTTGCAAGAAGAGAAACTCTTGAAAGCCTAATTCTACTGCAGTGAAATTAGCACAATGCAGCTGTGCAGCGAATGCTCTCTGAGGCATCACTGCAAGGCTGGCTGATTAAATTTTCCCCTATGTTAGAGAACTTGATGTCTGTTGGAATGTTCTTGGTCTAATAACTTAGCAAAAATACATGAAAAACTAAAGTGGAAACCAACTTGTACAAAGAGAGAAGAAATACTTCACAATGAAAAAACAGATGTTGTTAATGCTAGAATTCATAAAATGTTAGACATTATCAACTGCATAATTAAGAAAAGCATGATGTAACCATGCTAGTACAAAGTCTGAATTATTTAGATGATTCCTAGATGGTATTTTAATAGTAGAAATATTTTAATAAACATCCCCATCTTTGTGCTTGTTGATACAACAGCTTTGCTTTTAATTAATCTTTGTCTAGGACAGTGATGAATTCTGCATGGAAATATAAACCAGTCTATGTAAGTTTCTACCATACATACTCACGTGCGTCGGAAGGCAGCACGAATATCCATTTCTCCACTTGCTGGTGCCTCTGATATGACAAAGAGTGACAAATGAGCGTGGGATGACAGACACGTCAAAATAATGAAAAAATACAGTGGTATTTAAAAAGCTTTTCAGTTATTTTATTCAGAAATTCTTACATTGTAAATTGTGATCAGTCACATACTGGAGGATTGGAGCAGTAGCTTTAAGCATATAACTGTGACTGTTTGCTTTCAATATGTGGTGTTTAATTATGTGTAGCTTAATTCTGTCTCATGCTCCATAATTGTCTGCAACATAACATTCTCTTCCTTCTTGTTTGTTAATTCCTCTGCCGGTAAATTTTAATTTCAATGCTAGCTTCACAGAGTATTTTGAAACTCCAGTGAGAAAACTATTAGAAAATAACTGTCTGTTATTATTCACCCCCTGAAAGCAAAGGTCAATTCCTGGCAATGAGTAACAATGTACAGAAACTCCATGTAGGATATTGCATAGAATTAACCTGCTTACTCTGTTCTAATCTCCTGAAATCCGGAAAAAGCCATAAAGCACTTGGGCTGCTTTGTACCTTGCTGTGTACTGTCTTTAAGAGCATTCCAGTTTTGACTAGAGTGACATCCGAGTGTTCCTTCTAATGCTGTATATCTCTGCCAACCCATCCTAATTATCATCTAGGCCTTTGTAAGTGTAAGCTCTTCAGATCTATACTTCAGATGCTTCTCTAATAACTGCTGTGTGCCTGAAGGAATTGTTGATGGACATACAGGAAGAAAAAAAAGTGCAAGTAAGAAAGGAGGTGGCAGGAGTTCATCTTACCATTCACTGTCAGGTTGAAATTAGAACTATCAAACTTGTCCTTGGTAGACACCTCACATCTGTACCCTCCTGCAAAAGTCATATTAGCTTCTATGACTTCCATTTCAAATATGTACACCTAGAACAGAGACCAGTTTCTAAGTTAAAAAATGAAATGCTGAAGGAGAGAGAGAAAGAATACAGCATTTTAAGGCATAAAAGCAAATAAGTGACAAGTGATTAAATATTTTCATTTCCTTTTAGGATTAAGAACATCCTGAATGTGTGACACATTACTGTCATAAAAATTACATATTCCCAATTCAGTGAGAGCAGAAAAATAAGAGTATAATTGGTACGGGTCTGTGAGAGAATATAATGTTACATTAGCAAACCATACTGATGCACCGGTGTGCGCAGTCATTACGTATGGTAACTTCTTGTACATTGGAAACAGCAGTAGAGCTTTCATTAAACAAATACAGCCTCTATCCAAAACATGTGCAGTACATTTAAAAATTCAGCAAAATCGGTGGCTCTTTTATTCGTGTGCAACTGTGTTCTGTTGCCTCCAGAAGAGGGTGGTAGTGCTTCATATAGCATATGGGATGAGACGCCATGGCTCTGACTCTCCTGTTTCTCTTGTGTCTCCCGGACATTTTTGTGGAAGAAATTGCTTAGCTACCTAAATTAGTCTAGAGAAAATTAAATTCCAACATAAATAGTTGAATGCTTAATCTGTGTAGAAATATGACAGATCATATGTAAATATGTCTGATTTATTGTTTTCTCTTAAATATAATCAGAATGTATTACTTGAGAGGAAGGTAAAATATTCTGCTTAAGAATACTTCCCCAGTCCTCTGTGTATTTTCTCACCATAGATAAAGTAAACAAAAGAGTCTGAATGTAGTGCTTGTCTCTTATCTGCATGGTCAAAATATGGATGTGCAAGCATAAATATAACATTGTGTGGAGCTTTGGGTACTTCAATATTAAAACATTTCCTGATAATTTTATATTTTCCCCACATAAAAAAATTAATATATACAAGGCTAAGAATCTTATGCTATCAGTTGCACCTTGTTGTTTCTGTCATAGCTGTCACGCAGCTGGAGATGTTTCCCCACTTTGCTTGCCAGGTCCATCCACTTTCCTTTGAACCATTTCACTGACGGTTTCTTTAGCAGACTCTCACCTGCAACTTTGGCAGTGAACATGATGTTTCCACCTTGTAAGGCAAGTAGGATAAAATAAGATTATGAGCAATGTTATTTTGTTTAGTCTATCTTTTACGTCACTGCAGTAATCCCTTAGTAGAGAGATAAACAATCAGGCAGAAGGTGCAGTTTGCAACTTGACTTAGATTTTGTACTCACCAACAGTAACTTCTCCATCCTGAGGTCGTGTCACAAAGAGCCCAATAGGGTCTACAGGCTCTTCTGGTTGAGCCTCAGCAGGTGGAACTGCATCAAACACAAGAGTTACTAGTTAGGACTTCCTGCATCAGCTTCTGTTATGACCTATACAATAAATTTAAGTCATTTCAAAATGTCTCAGTATGTTTCTTCTGATTCTGAGATTCATTATTCTCTGTCATCTAATACTAGCACTCTCCTGGTGTCTACCTCACTTACTGCAAGGATTTCCTGTTCCAGTTCTTCCCTTCTGTTATGTATCACACTTAAAATAACAGCAGTAGTTCTTTATTACCTTCTGGGTTTTGGTTGCTTTCTACCGGTGGAGCAGGCAACTCTGAGGCAGCTGGGGCAGGAGAAGCTTCAGCAGGAGGAACTGGCTCACTCTTTTCTGCAAATGAATGTAAACCTAAATTAGAGAATGCTTTCTTTCTGAATAAATCTTCCATGTTTTCTAGAACTTAGAAGATTTGCTGTTAGGAGAAAGTGCCTTCTGGCAGCTGGATGGTAAGGCTCTTTGCTGAGGTGGGAAAGAGCTAATATCTGAATTTTTTAATTCTACATTCTTGATATGAATGAAACTTGTCAGCTGATGCTTAGTTCTGTTTTAGCCTCATTTATAGAAAAAATAGAAAAAAGTAATGAAAAGTGATGCATTTATAATCTTTATGAAGGCTTTGCTTTTTCATGAGATTTCACTTTGTTCTGTGTGTGAATGTAATGCCCTAAACACAGCGGATCCAGTAGTTTGCAAGAAGATCTAGACACTATTTGCCATAGTGTCAGAGAGATTCCTTCTGTCATTTGCTGCTCTGGGAATTTATGTCCCCTGAGTTAAAATACGATCTTACAGACAAATTCAGGCAAGTTCATTTGGTGAAGTAGAGAAGGTAGAAATATTTGAGCACAGAAATGTTTGAAGAAGCAGCAACTATGACAGAGGAAGGGAAGTAGAATTTCTTGAACTTATCCAGTTGCTGAAATATTTTTTCCCTCCTGGGTAGCAAAGAAACTTCCAAAGGGCCTTGCTTATCCCTCACTTAAGTCCTGTGTGCAGTTTCTCATCTATTTGCAGTGTCTTTACCACCAGAGGAATCTGGCAATGTTGTGCCAGAGAATAATGGCTGTGTCTGGACAGGTGACAAGACAGTTTCTGCAGTTTTGATAATGAAAAGCTGAAATGATTTTTGTTTGTGAAAATAATAATGATTAATCCAGTTGTTCTTTACAATTTAATCTTAACTAAGATATGAAAAAACCAAGACAAAATGAGAACATACCATGATGGGTCAACCCCACTCTCAGAAAATGTATGCCTTTTACACTGTAAATCTGTATCTTAAGAGAGAAGTGTGATTTTTAGCTTTTGTTGGAGAGTATCCCTTTGGATCTAGTCCAATTTTAACTCAATTTTTACTGTAATGAACTAAGTTATCCTAACTGTGGAGATATATATCTTATAACTTACACGTGTAACTATTTAGAAAAGGCTTATTTTGAGGCATCGGCATATGACAAACACAGGAAAGTTGTCTCATTTTGGCATCCTCATATCTCTTCTACCAATTTATGTTTATAAAAGGCGCAGATCTTTTAGACCACAATTCCAACTCCAAATTCAGTAACTCTGCTATTTGAGGCTCTCTACATGTAGCGGATTCTATCTGGAACTAACTTAAAAGATAGCGAGAACCACACAACTAGTATAATGTGTACCTTTTTATTTTGTCAGTGAGAAAGCCAGCAAGAATATGCTGTTATATGCTCTGACAACTGTTAAATTGTCCTAATCCATATGAGGATTAGCCCTTCCTCGTAATCTGTCATGCACTGTTGCTGGAACAGGATATCTTGTCTTCTGTTAAATGTTTGTGTCTTTTCAGCTGACCAAAAGAACTCACTAACATCATGATACAGTTGCTGCTTCTTTTTTATTTTTTTCTTTTTTTTTTTTTTTTTTTTTTTTGTCAGAAAGCATCAGAAATATCAGAAAGCAAAGTACTGGAAGTGCTGAATGGAGACTAAAGGTTTTGGAGGAAAAGAAAGGGATTAGAAATATTTCATACTTTAGTGGCTTTATCTACCCAGGAAAGCCTGGGGAAGTTTTTCCATTTCTCATCCAACTGTTCCTTTAATGCACACAGAAAAAGTAGTGATTGGTGATAAATGCTGCTTACATCGCTCCAATAGTAATGCCTCATGTTTATTTCAATGGAAAATACAACAGACAGAAAGAACACAGTGACTTTATTTGACAGTGCAAACTCTAAGCTACAAAAACAAAAATTTTTCAGCATAGTCATCACTGTTAGTTATGCACTTTTTGCCAGCAGTGAACAAGAGCCTGCACACCACCCTCATAAAAATCTGCACCAGCAGAGGTGACCACTGCTGAAATACACCACTCACTGCCTCACTGTGCTAACACTTACTGTTGAGTCTCTATAAATGTTCAGCAAGTGTTGATGAATGCCAGTGGGTGCTGTTTTTTTCTGTAGACAGGAATTTAATGACACACCTTTCCTTCATACACACCTCATGGCAGATGCCATTTTCTCGGACTGCCCTTCTGATGCCATCTGTCACACAGCAGCAAAATGAAATACTGGTGGGAAGGTTTAACTGCTGCTGCCATCATCTGCCTCTGACATCATGGGCCATCATAACACATGAGGCATTACTTTCAAAGCAACCTTCGTTGCTTTGAACGTTACTTATTGTGCTCAAGTCACTCAAAAAATAAGAGCTTGTATTAGTGAGTTTGAGAACTCTGTAGGAACGTATGTGTGCCTTAAGGCAACTTGAAATTCTTTGTCAGTTACTACAATTTTGTATTTTAATGTAATCCTTAAGAAAAATATCAGACCTAAGATGCATGCATCTTAGTTTAGATTAGGTTAGACTTGCTTTGCTTTGCTTTTGATGTTGAATTGTAAAGAAGTGCATTGAGATTTCCTCTGTGATCTCAACTGTGGACTTCTGTCATTGGAAATGGGTGTTTGAGCCACAGGAAATGTGTTCCTTAGCTAAATATTGAGTATATTTTGGAAACCTTACTGCAGCTTCAAATCACATGGCAGAACATATGTATTGCTGCTAGAGAAATTTTTCTTTAAGTTAATGCCTTCAGCCTCATTTACGAATTTTGAATGTCAGACTAGAAGTAATGATGAAATAGAATTGTTTAGCGATCAGTGTACCTGGTTCTTTGACCTTCAGCTCAAATTTGACCTTGGAAGTTCCAGCTATTACAGCATATGTCACATCGTCGTCTTTTCCTACGTTATTGATTGTCAGTGAATGCTTGTTTCCTTCTGCCTTGATAGCGTATTTCTCACTGTTGGTAATTTCTGTGCCAGCTCGCTGCCATTTCACCTTGATGCCGGTTTTCTCTGTCTCTGCTTCAAACACAGCTGTGCTTCCAGCTGTCACCTCTGTCGTCTTCGGCTTCTTGGTAAATGCAGAAACTAAAAAAAAAGAGAGAGGGCTCACTAAAATCTGTTTTGCAATTGTGGTGTATCTGGTGTAGTCAGCTGTTGTGGCTGCAACAGCTGTCTCCTTTCTCTCCCATCTGCCCCTGCAAGATATAAATTATAACACTTTCCATGGGGAAGCTGTGGAATTGTCTCTCTATTTACTCAGTTCTATTTCTGACTGAGATTTCTCCATATTGTCATGAAACAAAATGTAATGGATAGCAAACTCATCTTGCTGTCCTTCTTTCTACTGTACTGAGCTCTGAGTTTTTCATGAGTGTTTAATCTATGACAAGATGGTACGATATGTATTTTTACTTACAAAGCTCTCTATGTTAATTTATGCAGTCTTGCTTAGAAATAGGAATTCTTTTTATATAGGCTTTTTGGTTGTGATCCAGTGCTTGTCTAATACTGTTGCTAAAAAGAATCAGGATCCTTTCCTCTAACAAAGCTGCAGTTAGCATAGTAGTAACCTGCGTCCTGATACACCACTATAAATTAATGTTTCCTTTTCAGTATTTCTGTTTTGCCTGATCGAGTCTTCTATAGTGGCAAGAGATTCATGTTCCAATGATGGCCTTTTAATTTTATCCCAGCTTAATAGTATAAAGTGGTGTTTGCATTCAAACTCAGTATATGAAATACAGTAAGTACAGTATTAAAGTGCTTGCCTATGTAACTCTATGACAACTAGTTATCTAATGAAATTACAAAATGGATGAAAATATTTCTTCTGTCTTAAGGAGTGCTTTTGATGCTGATAATGAAAAATAATTAAATTACTAATACATGGAATGAACATGCATAAACCAAATAACATTTTGTCTCATATGCAATCAAAGTAGCACAGTAGGTGGGAATTTGAAAGCAAGCTGTGTATTCTTCAATGCTGGATTTTAATGAGGTAACCTACTTTACTATTTCCCTTGCCCTGAATTATTCATTTAGATTTTCTATTTTGAAACAAACTTTTCATTTTCACGTTTTCATCTTAATGAATTCTGTTATCTTTTGCTAATCGCCCCTTGGTATTTTATACAGAATAAGTGCATAAAAATACCTTTAATTAACACTGATTCATGCATTAAATGTTTCTTGTGTATAGTTAGTCATCTTTTTATTGACTTATCCTTTTATAATCATGCTTTTATGTAATATTATTAATTCTATCATATCTGTGACCTCTGCTGCAAATTACCTGTAGCTCTATTACTTGGGCAACAGTAACTTTCCTAAACACCAGAATGATAGTTATAGTTAGCCTTAAGCTTTTGATTCTACTTTATAAAAATGAAGAGAACATAGCATGGAAGGATATATTTTTTAAAGAAGTTGTTCATACTCATGTTCAAACAGATGCTTTAGTCAGCATAAGTGGTATGTTACTAATAATACCATCTGCACAAAATCTCCATTCCTGTACCATATGCTAGACTAAGTAACTTAACTGACCTCAGTAGGGTTACACCAGCAAAGATTTCATCTGATGCCATTTGGACTCTTGTCATAATACAAGGCACTCTTCTGGCATTGCTTTGCAAAGAATTTAAAGATGCTTAAGCATCAAATAAAGTGACTTACAAATAATATCAGAATTTAGGATGTAATATATTTTACTTTTCTTTGTTATGTGAAGTCCTAAAATATGTTTTTCTTTCTTTTTTTCCCCTCTATTTTCTCTCGTTCTATAATCTCATGAGAAAACAGATCTATTTTGCACTAAGCCTATAGCAGCCTCAAATGAGCTCCTTTTGGATTCTGCATGTGTGTGAAGTTTCCGCTGGGAATGGAATATCCCTGCATCCATTTACTTGATTTCAGGCCTGCAAGTGATATAATTGCTCTTAAAATAATATAGTACTATAAAGTACTATGCTTTAGCATAATACTCAGATGCTTGTTATCAACTGCACATCCTTTGATGGAGTACTGCACTTCAGTATATATTGCCACACCAGAGTGTACTTTGATGCAGTCTGTCACTGTGACTAGATGTGTGAGTGCTGTTGTAGACTGCAACTCTAATGCAAGGAACTGGAAAAATAATTAAAGTTGTCCATGCAGCCACACAGTGCAGAGCCAAGTGAGTTCTGGGACTCACTCCTGAAACACTCCAGCTAACCATTAGCTGGCTCCTCTCCCTGTGACTCTGGAGATACGGTGGCAAATTGGCCTTTTTCTTTCTCCATGTGCTATCATCATCACTCTTCTATTTAAGCACAAAAGAATCTATAAATATATTAATTACTTAACAACAATGTGGCCTGCAAATGTTCTGCTCTCCAAATGGCAGTGTTTCAAGACATGCGCTCTTAGGTAGCTCAACAACAAAAAAAATCACTGGACAGAACTATATTCACAGTGAGAAATCTTCACAGCCACAGCATGTCTCTGACTTGAGGAAAATCCAAATAGTTAGGTGGAAGTTTACGAGTAATTCTCTCTGTCTTCTTTTTTCTTTCCTTTCTCTGCCAAAAGACTAATTTATTTGGATTCCTGCTTCAAATGATTGTGAATGTTTCCATTAAAGCATATAATTGGAAAGTACCAAGAACTTCCATGAGAATAAAGGAAGAACCATTCCTGTGTACCCACATTTTCACAGATAAAGGAGATTCTAAGAGCCTTTTTCTTGCAGCAGGTTTTAGAGTCGGTGAATGACATTGCCCAAAGTCGTGTCTCTCTGTATATGCATCTATGCTCCCTTTCCACTTCCACTGTTAATTGCATGCAAAGGAAGAGTAGGAATGTAGGGCTGAAGATTTTAATAGAAATTACTTTTTTGCAGAAGAGAAGCTGCTGAACAAGCATGTGCTGGAAATTCCATCCTTTTCCATTTTGGGGGGAAAATGGGCAGCTTAGCAGAAGGAACAGTGAGAGATCATCTGTTCTCAGTCTCCTCCCAGGTGTCTGCTTCTTTAGGTAACAAATGTATCTGACTTCCAGATATTTTTTCCCTCATGCAATCACAGCAGACTCATCTAGCTATTGCCTCATCAGGAATGACTCAAAATGTCACAATTTAAAGCTTCTTGTCCTGAGAGCATTGCTTTTTCCTGCTTTTGTCAAAAACACGTTTCCTTGGAAATCTCTCTCACTTCAGCATTTGGCTTCTACCCAGCTCTGTCTCTCTAAGTTTCACGTATCTATTTGCTATTCAAAACATTCTTGAATGCTACCATTACAAGCCTGTGGAAAATCCAGTAGCTGTGACACCTCTCATGTGATGTTGTGGAATATCTACACCTCTTGTGCCTGTCAGGCCCTGACAGATGTCAGGCACTGTCACATGCTTACCCAGACTGCTGTCTAGCATGTGCTGAGCAGCCATTGGGTTGAAGCACATGATAACTTAGTAGCCAACTCCTCTGCCTCCTGTTTTTTCACTTCCCTGCTTCCATGAGATTCTAACCCACACAGTATGAAGGGAGAGAGTGGAGACATTTATGCTAACACTATAGCAATGCTGGACAAGGGGAAGAGATGCATGTGAGTTACCAGAGCTGTTTTTCCCAGGAATTGTTGAAGGGAAGGTGAATTTAAGTGCTGTGGATGTTTGTGTGGGCTTGGTTTATTATTTTGAGGGGGGGGGGGGAGAATGGAGCTGGAATTGCTTTAGGAAATTAACTTTCCTCCTCATTTGTCATATCCCAGACTTTCCTACAATACTAGTGTCATAATGTGAAGAACTTTGTGTAACTTCTTTAATCAGCAAATTTCTGCTCATGGCAGAATAGGAAGCAGGCTCCATGTGGTCTGAAATAGTCTTGCAGGAATCTTTTTATACCTCATGCAGCTCCTACTACAAGTTGCTCATGGCAGCAATCCTTTAGGAGTGCTGTAACAACTGAAGTAGGCTCTGGACACATCCATCATACAATTATCTATGTCATAGAATCATTAAAGTTGGCAAAGGCCTCTAAAATCATCTAGTTGAACTAGTCCATCCCCACCATGCCCACTAAATGGTGCCCCCAAGTGTCACATCTACACTTTTGTCGAAACACTCCGGGGACAGTGACTTCACCACCTCCCTGAGCAGCCTGTCCCAATACTAGGTCACTCTACTGGAAATTAACTTTTCCTAATATCCAACCAGAACTTCTATGGCTTGAGGCCATTACCTTTCATTGTATCGCTGGGAAAACAGGTCCACCCTCCTCCCTCACCACAGCCTCCTTTTGGGGAGTTGCAGAGAACAATAAAGTCTCCCCTGAAACTTTTCTTCTCCAAATTAAACAGTTTCAGTTCCTTCAGCTGCCCCTCATAAGACTTGTGCTCCAGACCCTTCATCAGCTTTGTTGCACCTCTGTAGACACTCTTCAGAGCCTCCATGTCCTTCTTGTAACAAGGAACCTAAAACTGCACACAGTATTCAAGGTGAGGCCTTGCCAGAGCCAAGGGCAGTGGGAAGGCTCCCTTATAATTTCTGAATTCAAAGTAAACGTGAGGTACCTGAAATCAAAGAAATGTGGATTTCACAGGAGTGGTTTTATCTAGATAGAACGATGAAGTGCCATCCTGCTGTGGCTTTTGTTTCTAAATTTTATCTTGCTTTTTAGACCAGTAGCTCTGACTTCAACTTTTCATCACTCATGATGGAGGAGATTTAAGCACTTAAGGAAAACGTGTGTTAGAATTAGCCTTTGAAATAATACTTCTGTCTTTCTGAAATAAAATCTGTTAAAGATATTAAACAGGAGAACCTAATATATATGGTTGATGAGTTAATTTACTTTACATTCTGTTTAATTTATATCCAGATTTTTATATGGGCAACATTGATTGAATATTAAAAGATAGCATTAGCTTTTGGAGTTTCCCTAATTTGTTAAGGCTTCATGTTGAAAATGTGTCTTTGTTTCAGTGCCTACACTTGGCATCAAGTTTTTCTTTTATACCATTTGTTCTTTCATTGAGATAAAAGCCAAACTGTGAATAAACAGACTTCAGTAACGGAGCTCGTAAATTCCTCGCAGAGGAACTATATAAAGATGCTGTGCATTCCTCAGTCAGGACCTAAGTGGCTTCTTGCAATTACAAGCTTAATCATTCCTTGATCCAAAAGCTATTGAGCTACTCAATCTTATCATTCCTTGCCTACTTCAGCAGCTGAGACTGTAAATTCCTGTAATATGAGCAACAGGCAAGGAATAGTTTCACTAACCAGTCATTTCTCTCTCTCTATGCACTCATCACACTCACTGTAAAATGCGAATAATAATATTGATCTTGCTTTGAACCTTGAATTAAGAAAAAAAAAAAATAGCCCTGTGTAAATTGTAACTGATTTTTGATTTCCTGTAGCACACAGAACTTCATTATTGTGGACCAATATTTTAATGCTGAGCAGTACTTTACCATGCTAACTTCTTAAAAATGTAGGAGGAGGAGCTATGTTCCAACTAAAATTCCATAGGCAGCTCTTCATTATGCAATGTTGTATATTATTATCGAATGACATATGTCTATCTGTATTTATAGCCAAAGTGCTTTTAGACCTTTGAGAAAATTTCCTAATCTGAGCTTCAAAATCTGGATTCTTCAACCTATAAAATGAAACATCATTCATTTTCAGAGAGGGTGAGTAATGCCACAGTTCTTTTCTTTCTGATTTAGTAATGCACATTTTTCCCATTAACTTAAATTTATCTGCTACGTTTTTCCTTTTATTGTTGCAACATCATGTAAGGGAAATGGTTTGGGTTTTTTTTTTTTAACCTTTGTAAGTTTTCACAACAATGAAAAGACCTAAACTTTCCAAAAGGCCAGCATTTGAACAGAGATCAACTCTGAAATGTTAAAGACATAGAGAAAGGAACATAATGCTTCTGCAGTGGAAAAGTAATGTTCTTCAATATCTGATAGTTTGCTCTGACAGGTGAATGCTGTTGCTCTAGAGGAATATGTTAACTCTCTGGAAAATGCCACCATTTCTTTGGGTGTTGCATAAAGAAGTGGGACTGTCTCATCCTGCAGTGTTTCAGCTAGACAATTTAAAGTAAAAGAACATCACTTGGGAAGTCCACTTCACTTTTTTTTAGTTTATTTATCTGTTTATGCGTGTTGAAAGGCTTATTAGAAGAGCAAAATATAGCCAGAATATCCTTTATCATTCTCTGGCTTGAAGCATTTTCCCTTACCTGTGGGTGAGATGCCCTAATTTCACTAATAAAGGCTAAAGATCTCCTAGGTTTCTTTAGTAGTCTAACTTAGAAATAACGACTTGTCCAAGTATGAACTGTTAGGTGCTTATCCAGCCCTCTTGAGATTATGCTTGATATTATCCCGTCTTGAACTGTATAAACAACATGAAATAGAAAACCAAAGGGATTAATGTCTCTTGGGAGAAAGAGAAAATCCTCCCAAGAAGTTATGAGGCATGTGACTGTTTCTGTCTCAGTCAGAGAGGGTAATAAGAGCTTTCCCTCCCCTGCTGTGATAATCACAGTTTGGACTGCTTTGTTCACAAGAACTGCGGAGGAGTGGTGATGTTAGACACCTGTTAGGTTTCTTTCCTCTGGAAAAGTAAACTGGAACAAAGTTTATCTTCACTGTTAGCTAGTCAAGGTGGGCATCTTCACAGTCAGAGAAGTTGCTTCTCATCCTCAGAAGCTAAAAATGATAGTTTATAGATATGACGCCTAGAAAATCACCTTGTCAAATTTTGCCTAACATAACCTGCTGTATATCTTTTTGGTAGCATTGCCAGTCACAAGCATCAGACGTTTTAATGAATCTCAGAAGTCAGGTGGCTTTAAGAATAGATTATGATTATGATTATGATTATTATTTCAACTGCTGAACCTTTAAAAGCATATATTTTTAAGGTTTCTTTTGTAGTTATAATGTCTGGTGTATACTTATTTTTGTATATGCTTCTACGTCCACCTGATTTCAGAAATTGCATCTTGAAGAATATCAAAGGAAGTTATAGAGTTGAGGTATTGGTGACACTGCTGCCACTTTAGAGTTGTACTGAGGGAATATAAAGAGTCCTGAAATTAATTATGCTTTAGAGTTTAGCATTTCTTAATGCGGGATACAGGTTAGGTCTGTGCTCTGTCCCTCTGGCAGTGGCCAATTCCATATATTCTGGCCAAAATGAAAGTTCTTAGCAACTGTAAGCTCATTTGTTGGGGTGAGCACAACAGATTTTCCCACTGACCAGTCTAACATGAGTCTGATGCCTTTGTACTTTGCGAAGTACATAACCTTATTATGCCTACATAAATATATATTAGCAGTAATTATTGGCTAATTTTGAAAACTGCGTGTTATTAAAAAAGCATCCATTTTGTACATTCAAGTCATGGTGGTCCTGTGTATACTAGTATCATTTCAATGAAATGAGTACCTTGCTCTAAAGGAGAAGAGTTCTAGATTTAGCTCATTTTTTTTTCCAGCCCTATGATTGGGTATGTGCATACTTATCCAGTGATCATAATTTCAGCTTTTGACATCTTTTTTTCCAGAATTAGGAATGTTTTGTTTTCACAACTGAGATCTCTCTCTACTCACACTGGAGCTGAACTTTTCCTGCCTCTGCTCCCCAGTCTTTCTTTTTCCTCCTCAGACAGACAGATATTTTGTACCTTACCCTATACATTTCCTTTTTTACCTACTTGGGCAACTTCTGAATGATTCCCTATTTCTCAGTTATGAATTAGGAATGTCCTAAATCTGTTAGGGTTTTTTTTTCTGATGTTTTTCTAGTGAGGTAGAAGTTACACTGGACTCTATTCTGTCCTTGACTTTCTGGAAGTAGCTAGTTATCTTCTGTCTCAACAGAAGATGATGAAGGAAGGTAAATGAAAGGAAATATGCACGTATTCTTTAAAGTACAGTGCCTCCTTTTTTCCTAGAGCTCTGCTGTCACTGACTGGAAGAAGTAGAAAGTGTAGCCTCTGAGCCAGGTGCCATTTGTTTTCATTTTCACAAAGATTTCACAACAAATAACATCAGCATTTGCCAATCACACTTCCTGGAAAGTATCAGGATAAAAAAAAAAAAAAAAAAAGAAACTGGGAGACTTTTATACTGCCCAGTTGGCCAAGAGAGACACAAGATTTTTTCACAGCCTAAGGGTTACTGGAGAAGAAACAATAAATGAAAGGAAACTGAGTATTAAAGTATTAAACTTCTGTTCCCTCCTTGTCCAAATTCTTTGGATACAATTCTGTAACTGAGGGTTGCCAAATTAGTTACTGATTTCACTATAAGAAAACATCTTTTTATAAAATAAAATATCTTTTATCTCTTTTTCCTCTCTTTTTTTTTTTTTTTTTCCTAAGGTATCTCTTTGTTTGTTTGTTTGTTTTTCCTTCTTTTTCCTGGCATACAGAAGCTAGTCAGAATTTCCTGTTTCAAGCAGTTTTCAGTTTTTGTTTGTTAGTCATGATCCTTACCTGCTTTCTTTGCAGGCTCTGGCATCTTCACTTTCTGATGAAGCTCCCAATTGATTCTAGAATCTAGAAAGCAGAGTCCGAGCTAAACAGAAACAAGACTGCAGGGCTTTTGAGACCCCCAAAAGAAGCACTCGGTGGAAGCCCCCATCCTGCTCCTCCCCCTCGAATCTCCACTGTTGTCAACTACAGCATTTTATCAGTAGCAGGGCACACTTGACGGACTACATCAGCCAGGATAAATATAGCCAAGTTCCAGGAGCCAGAGAACTCAAAACACGTAAGGCTGGCTACCACTGATCTGTTAGTGCAAACTAAGCATGGTCTGATGCTGCACATGCTTCCCATACACATTACATTAAGAATTCCTACACTGCCATGTTTATAGCACAGGATCTGTAATTACTTATTGCAAGTATATAGCTACTTGCATTCTTGCTACTTTGCTATTGTTATAGTTGAGTCAGAACCAAACAGCCTTTCACAGACCTTTTTTCTTTACCCATTCTTCTCCACTGAAGACTGTAGACCTAAATGCAAACTTCCTTGAAAGAACTTTTTCAGACATTTATACTTTACTGACATTGCAGTCACAACTAGAAAGTGTGACACTACTTAAATAGTTTCAGTCCTCTCTCCCCATCCACCCACTTGACCTGCAGTATGCGTTACTTGAAAATTTACCATTTTTTCTTTTTTTAAAGCACCATTTTGAAAGTGGCTCCAGGGTTTCATTTACATACCTCTAGAAGTTTTAATTCCGTTCAAAACAAAACAAAAAAAAGCACAAATCAGGGGAAATTTCACTAGGATATTGTTCTCATATTGCCATTTTGTGCTTCAGTTGTTACTTCTTATTTTTTCATTCACCTAGCAAAACAGCAACCATAGACAAACATCCCTGTACTATCTTGGTGTGTCCATTCTCTGTCTCTATTGCCTGACTCATTTTTAGTTTGTCATTGAAACTCTGTAGGCCAAGTATTTAGCATATTTTAGCTGCCACTAGTACTGAAAAAAAAAGATTTGAAAAAAGAAAAAAAACACAATGTGGTTTTCAGTTTTTACACTTCTACTAACTTGTAAAAATCTCTGTCTGAAGGTACTCAGCTTTTGGCAGGAAGCGCAGAATAGACAAGTGTGCATACATAGCACAGCGTTTACTGTATTTCATGTTTGTTCTTCACATCTGAATCTCTGGGTAGGCTGATAGGACAAACAAGACGCAGAAAATGACTGCTGCTACTCCTCTCCTGATTTTGGAACAAGTACTTCTCCTTCCCTGAAGGAATTTTTTACACATGAGTAAGGAAGATGAGCACCATGTGACCTATGTACATTTTCCATTGCTTCTGTTTCTAACGGAGCAGAAATTATCATGATATGTTTGGACATACTGTCCTGTGCCTGAGGTGCTTCACTGGGAATCGGAAGATGTAGGCTATCAGCTTTGGCTTGAAGTCTTTCAAGGGACTTGCGTCCCACAGTATGAAAAATCTGTCACTCAACTGGTGAAGATCACTATTCTTTCCTTTAATATTTATCCCCATTAGAGAACTGGCATTAAACCTTTCTTCTCACCAGAGCTGATCCCCAGCATGCTCTTGGAATAACAGCAAAATCCCTTCTGGAAAGAGGCCTGTCAGACACTGGAGGCCATGGAAGGCAGAACTAACGTGAACTGACAGCAGTAGAAAGAAAGAAGCTGTGCAGATTATCTAGAGATGGACTGCGATCAGAGCCACATTTTTTCTCAACTAATTTGCCTCTCTAGTGTGTCCTTGAGATGATGTTTACAAGGGAAATTAGCGGTCACTTCTGCAAAACTTAAAACATGAACCTCTTGTAATTGCTTTCAGAATATGCTTAACTTTCTTAGGAATCACTTTGACTCAACAAGTTAGTTTCACTATTTCATCCTTTCTCAATCACACATTAGCAAATAATGATTTTTATTGAAATTCTGTATGTTATGTTGTAAAGTGGTTGTACTGATAAAATATGTAGTAGGCTGAAGTGTTTTCTTCAATCTGGATTCAAAATATGGTTCAAGTCATCAGTATTTTTTCAGTTAGCGCTGTAGGCCTTTATTAACGTGAACTAAAATAGTGTAAGTGGAAATAAACCCATTTGCATGGGTTTAAAGGAAATGTGTACTTCAGTAGAGTACCTTTTAAATGCAGACATCTAGTATTTATCTCATTCTCTAGGACCATATCTGTGGGTGTCCATTAAGAGGTACTTCAAAGCAAAACTGAGAGGCTTAGATTAATTAAATATGGGATAATTCTTATCTAACACAGATCTCGTCCTGAACAAAAGTAGGTATTGGCTATAAGTACATCTTGGTTATTTCTTTTAAATTCTTGGAAGTCTCAGTAATATTGAGTCACCTCAGTACTAATTTATTTCTAAAATGACATCATTAAGTCCTTGAACTTGATGTTTTACAATATCAATTCCTCTGTTGAAATATACATTGTAGAAATATGAATTTCATTTTGAGTCTGAATTTTCTAACAAAACTTGAATATCCTCTTGTCTGGGAGAATGCAATTGCCATTCAATGTCTGAATGTCAGCTTTTTTCCATGCTTTTGTCAGAGCACCCCTACTCTTTTACAGAGGTACAGCTGTGCAAAACACTTTTGTACCTGACTTTAGATACTGAAACATTTTCCTTCTTTTCCTGCTTTCTTACTGTGAGATATTTGTCTGCAAAACTCTCAGACATGTCTGATGGCAGTGGGCATAGAGGAGATCATGTCCATCTCTGTCAGTGATGGCAGGTTTCTACTTCCTCTAGGGCAGATGGGACTTCATCCTGACGCTGCATGGCTGGCAGATGAAATGCATTTGTATTTTTCTGTGGAAGTTTATGAGGTGGTCGGTGTTGTGTTTCTTTCCAGAAGACTTTCATTAGACTGAATTCTAAGGTGTGTGTTATTTGCGGATAGCATCCCAGTAGCTGTCCATGAGCGGTTGTGGCCAAGGGAACTGGAAAGAGGTTTATGCTAATCTGAATAATAAAATGTGATTGGATGTTAGGTCACTACCAAATATATAACCAGATAATGTAGCATTCCCACTGTGCATTAGAAGGAAATGCTAGGCAATGGACTATGTTAGATTGTGTTAGGCAGTGTTTCTTTATTAATGCTGGGAGTGGCACGTGCGAGGTTTCATCCCAGTGGTGATCACATAAATAGGTGTCACGGAGTTACTAGATCAATCTATGCGTGTGACAAGGGGGCAGTGTGTCCTTGGGCCCCCTCCGGCCCCACAGAATGGGAAGGGAAAGGGAAAAGGGATAGGGAGCTGGGAGCGGGGCTCAAGGAAGGAAAAAAACAGTGGCAACGATCTATGGAGGAAAACTTATTTTACTAACTATGATATCGGAATGCAAGATAACACAATATAATACAATCTAATTGAGATTGAGACTGATCAATCAAATAAGACAGGAGAGAGAGTTCCTGAGACAAGTCAAACCTGAAAAGCTTGGAACGGCTAGGAAAGCAGCCTCCAGCACTCACTGCCAGGCAGTAAGAAATCACGCCACCCGGGAGGGCCAGATCCCATGACTTCTGTAATGTACAGGGATAGGTACCTGGAATTGGAGCATTAACACTTTAACTACCAGTACACTATATGATGTTATGATGTGGAATACTGGAAACTAAAGAACATAAACCCATGATATTCCACCCCTTATTCTACATCACTACATCATGCTTAATATATATACATATATACAAATAAACAATGATTAAAATGCATTACACACACGTGTCTATATACATATATATACATAGAATTTCTGACTGCAGTACCTTGTGGTACACATTGAACATCTCTCTGCATTACCCACCAAGTGGACCCTGGTCCCTGGTCACAAACTACCATGAAGAGGTTTGCCCTTTCCAGAAGCTGGAAGGACACAAACAGCTTTTCCCAACATGCTCTTTACATGTACAATGGGGACTTTTATCTCCCTCTACGGTATGTAGAGAGCTGGACTGGGTAGGACCATCACGATTGATAGATCCTCTGGTATTGACTAACCAGGTGGTTTCTGCCAAATGCTTCTCCCAGTGCTTAAATGTTCCGCCACCCATTGTTTTCAGCATAGTTTTTAACAACCCATTTTATTATTCAATTTTACCAGAGGCTGGTACATGGTAGAGAATATGATAAATCCACTCAATGCCATGATCTTTGGCCCAAGTACTAACAAGAGAGTTTTTGAAATGAGTCCCATTATCTGGCTCAATCCTTTCTGGGGTGCCATGTCACCACAGTACTTGTTTCTCAAGATCCATTATGGTGTTTTGGGCGGTAGCATGGGGTACTGCATATGTTTCAAGCCACCTGGTGGTTGCCTTCACCATGGTAAGCACGTAACACTTACCACTGGAACATCGTGGCAAGGTGATACAATCAACCAGCCATGCCTGCCCATATTTGTACTTTTGCCATTGCCCTTCCCCCCAGAAACCTTTCATCCTCTTGGCTTGTTTAATTATGGCACATGTTTCACAGTCATGAGTAACCTGTGCAGTAGTGTCCATAGTTAAGTCCACCCCTCGGTCTCTAGCCCGTATATATGCTATATCTCTTCCCTGATGGCTTGAGGTCTCATGGGCCTACCACGCTAGAAATAATTCACCCTTGTTCTGCCAGTCCAGGTGTATTGAAGCAACCTCAATTCTGGCAGCTCTATCTACCCGATGGTTATTTTGCTGTTCTTCAGTAGCCCGACTCTTGGGCACATGAGCATCTACATGGCGCATCTTTACAACCATATTCTTTGTTCGGACAGCAATGTCTTTCCACAGTTCAGCAGCCCAAATAGGTTTACCCCTTCTCTGTCAGTTATTTTTGTTCCTGCTGCTGTAACCACCCCCATAAGGCATTTGCTACCATCCATGAGTCAGTATAAAGATAAAGCATTGGCCACCTCTCCCATTCAGCAACATCTAAGGCATCTAAGTTGGACAGTCTTTACCTCTGCAAATTGGCTTGATAC